GTCGTGGTATTACTGGGGGCGAGCTGGACCTACAGTGTGAAGATGTTAAAGCGGGCTCTACAACTGTTGAAAATTTCTTGTACTAATTATGGCCTCTAAAACGCATTTATATGTGATATTTAATATATAATTTTGTTATAGAATGAAGAAAGAAGAAGCTCAGATGTTCAAAGAAGTTCTGCAGAGACAGAAAGAGTACAATGACAAACAGAAGTTGAAATATAATAACCGAAGTATGCATATTTTGTATTTTTAACAAATCTGAATAACTTATATTGGGGGAATCTTTGAAACTTTTTTTTCTTAAGTTTTTAACCTAACATTGCATTATAGTGAAAATTGCAACCAAATCGGATAAGCCGTTTCTGAGATTAGTGAACACAAACACAGACAAATCGATAAAAAACCTCTGATAGTTCTAATGTTAAGACTCAAACGCGAAACATTTCGATGTGGATTTTTATACTAATGTTATAAAGAGGAAAGATTTGTATTTTTGTATGTATTGAAGTAACTCAAAAACTACTGGGCCGTTTATAAAAAATCTTTCGCAATTGAAAACCTACTTTTTCACTAAGTAACATAGATTATTATTATTTCTTTAATTTTACGCGAATGAAGGTCCGAAAAGCTTCTATTTAAAAAAAAAAATAGCAGCTTTTCTTGTATTTTTGTATGTATTTGATTCACGTAAAAACTACTGGGTTGATTTTTATAAATTCTTTTACCAATAAAAAGCTACGTTATCGCTTAATAACTATATATTTTTTTTACTTCGTGGACAACAGTTAGTCTATACTATTATTATAAAGAGGAAAGATTTATATTTTTGTATGTATTGAAATAACTCAAAAACTACTGGGCCGATTTTAAAAATTCTTTCACCATTAGAAAGGTAATTTATCTATGAGTAACATAGGCTATATTTTATTATTACGAACGTCGTAAAACTATTAATAATTTATTGCAGTGACTCCAGTGAAGTACTCTTGCGCCATTGAGCCGGTGTACATGGCTGACGGCTTCCAGTTCCTCAACTCTGATGAAGATGAGGAGGAAGACGATAAGAGGCCGCCACCGCATTGGGCCACTTCTTTGGTAAATTAAAAATGATTAACCAATAAGTAATACAGTAGAACCTCGATAACTTAAAAACCTCTATAACTTCAAAAAATAATATGTTCCCTTCACGTCGAGCCCAAAACCTCTACAACATAGACCCTTGATAACTTAAAACTTCTATAACTTAAAATATTTTGTGTTTCCCTTGGACTTTAACTTATCTAGGTTCAAACAACTTAAATACTTATGTAAGAAATAGTTCCCGTAAGGCTTTATCTTCTTGATATAGAAATTTTGTCGTTTACAGTTTGTAAAATTTTATGTAAATGTAAAAATTCAAATACTTAATTAAATTTATTTGGTATTATTTGATAACTAGCTTTTGTCCGCGTTGATTTAAAAAAAAAACAAAATCGAGTAGCCTATGTGTTCTTCCTGACTATCCTCTAAGTCTATGATAAATTTCATCGAGTTCCGTCCATCCGTTTATGCTACAAACTCTAACAAGCATCCATCCATCTAAACTTTTGCATTTATAATGTTAGTAAGTTTACCGTTATAATAACAATTTTGCTATTGTCTTCAGGTTGTTGTCATTTTCTTGCACATTTATGGCAAATATTTAGATTTTTAAGTTTAGAATAATAAATCAAGTATGTATTTTTTGTGTGGCAATAAAGCATACAGTTTGGATAGATGGATGGATGTTTGTTAGAGTTTGTAGCCTAAACTGTTGAACGAAATTCAATGAAATTTGGTATAGACGTATAGGATAGTCTGGAATACATAGGCTGTTTCTTTTATTCGATGCGGATGACGCTTAGTATATAAATATGTGTGTGCAGGAGCGTCGCCGGCAGCTGAGCGTGCAGGCGCGGCTGGAGGAGTGCGGCGGCGCGGCCGAGGTGGCGCGTCTGTTCTCCGTGCGGCCGCACTGCCCCGACCTGCGCCAGATCTTCCCCAACATCGAGCGCGCGCGCCTCAAGCGCACCTCCTCCGCCGTCTGGCGCACCCCGCCCGCAGACAACAGGTCGCACTGCACTGCACTGCACTACACACACTAACACAACACTGCATCACAATAACATCATACCGACCGACTAACACAACACACCAACCCAAAAACACTATACACCAACCCAATAACACAATACACCGACCCAATACTACAACCCAATAGCACAATACACCAACCCACTAACACAATACACCAATTCATTAACACAACGCTACAACCCAATAACAAAATACACCAACCCACTAACACAACACTACAACCCAATAACGCAATACACCGACCCACTAACACAACACAGCCACACCCTTTTTTTAAAGAGCGGGGGAGCGTGGTAGTTATGTGGAATTCTCCCCGTAATGGGGCATACCCAATAAACCCCCACTGTTCCTCCAACGCACTAGGTCGGGGCCATGGGCATGCTTTCGCTTTCGTCCGCGACTTCGCCTGCGACACACAACACAACAACACATCGACCCCCTAATACACCTACGACCTACTGTTTTTCTGTGAACAAATACCCCAAAGAAACTCCTAACTGCGCCCACACTGCTCATGATACACACGGACCCCATGAATCAAACAGAAAACTACTTTCTCATATAACATTTGTTTTAAAACTGTCAATGTTAAACCCACGCTTGTGGAAAAAGACTCTACAATAATAATTTATTGTTTATTTCCATTTCAGGTACAAAACATAAGTGTTTATTCTCTGGTCGCTGGCGGCATGTAAATATCTCGGTACTGCACCTAATCAACAATACTTTGATAAATTATTTAAACACTCAAACATATTATTTTGATATTAGAAAATATGTCAAAACATTAATATCGAATTTTAAAATAAATTAAGCCCTAAATATGCTTGAATTGTTTGTTTTAAACTAAGTATACCAAATTGTTCAATTTAATATCTAGTAAAGAGGAAAATGTGCATTTTTGTATAACTCAAAAACTAACGAGCCTTTTTTAAAAATTCTTTCCTCATTAAAAAGCTATGTTATCACTAACATGTTTTTTTTTATTCGGACGAAGTCGCAAGCAAGAGCTAGTAAACTATAATTTGGTATGCTTAGATTTAAAAAAGGTAATGAGGCGTTTTTATACTCATATGATATTTAGAGAAAACATTAAAATTTTAAATACGAATTAAATGAAAAAGTATAACAAAATTCAATGTTAATGTAGGCTCGTAGTTAGCACATGTTTAAAGGAATCCACTGACCTTTAATTCTTTACTATGAAATGACAGTTATCTCAAATGTCAGAATGTTTTCGTAACGTCGAAGTTTTGTTTATATTTGTACAGTGTCATTACTGGACGTAAATTACAATCTCATTCAAGTCATTCATGACGGTACGAATACGTTACTGTCACGCAAATTTTCGTGATAGCCCTCGACTTGCATAAACACGCTTGTTTATTGAAAGTTAAATATATGTCTATATTGTATTTAAAATATACCAATCGCTACTGTTAGCTCTGAATTAACGAAAATCATATAGACACTAAATCTAGCCTATCCATTTAAAGAAATCAGTGGTTGAACCTTTTACCCGCCGATATGAAACTACACAATTCCGAACCGCTGTTAAGTTTGAATACTATTATACAATACGTCATAGAATTGTAAGTTTTGATAATACTTGTATTGACACTATTGTATCTTTAAAAATATGACAATATAGACAAACGAGGATATTTGTCCCGATGAAGCGCGGAATTAGTTCTGTTAGAAAATGTGTAAAATCTATAATAAAATCTAAAAAACATGTCCAAAAAAGCTTTAATTCAAGTACCTTGTGACATTTTATGGAATTAGTCATTATTTAGTTTGACTTGTCAAATATCCTTGTGTGTCTGTGGTCAGAAACAATTGGCTCTTTGAATTTAAGATACCAACGAATATTAAAATCTATTTTTTATAATCGTAAGATAAACGCCTAAATTGATTTTACAGAACGTGTGTAATTGTTAATTATAGATTATGAATTATTTAATTTTATTTTAAATTTGACTAGATTTATATATTTAATGTAATTAAGCATGTTAATTAGTGGAAGTCGACCTTATCGGCTTTAGATTTCATGGCCATTGGCAACAACCATAAAAATGACAATAATTATGAAAAAGTTTTATATATATTTAAAAAAGGTTTACTACCTCTGAGTGACTAGAAATATCAGGTGTTGCTATAAACAAAATTTCTCATGAAAAAGTATTTTAAAAATTATTAGTTGATAAATGTTTTGAGTGGTGTTTGTTTTGAAAATAATGTTTTTTGATCAAATTTGTTTTGTAATCAGTACTCACGGGAGTCCGTGGTGTTTTAGAATAATTTTACCGTTAAGACTGCTATGGAATTTAAATAAAAGTTTACATTTAGTATTCTAATTTTTTTTTAATCAAATTCCTTAAAATACATAAGAATGTCCTCTAAAGTTGCGGATGAAAGGAGATTGCATGTGGATGAGATGCGTATGTTAAGATGTGTGTGACAAGAATGGATAAAGTTAAGAATGTGTACATTAGAGGAAGTTTGAAAGTAGCGCCAGTGGTGGAGAAATTGAAAAGCGAAAGGTTAGCGTGGTATGGACATATGGGACGAAACGATGGGGACATAAACCTGAAAGTGTTAAGAATGAATGTGGATGGCTACAAAGAGAAAGACCGAAAGTATGGATGGATTGATGGATCCTTTTACTATAAATGCGAAAGTTTAGATGGATGGATGGTTGGATATTTGTCAGTGTAGTCTAAATTGCTTAAAGGATTTCGATGAACTTCGGCATATATATAGTGGATAGTCTGGGAGTAAACATGGGCTACTTTTGGTTTTTTTTTCCACGCTAACGAAGTCGCGGACGAAAGGTAATTTCTTCCTTTCGTTCTAGAGAACGAGAGTTCCTTTTTAGCAAGTTGATAGGTATGGGAGTAACAGAAACGACGCTTGCTTAGTGCAGACTGGTTTATTGACGTCACCTAGACGTTTCCAGGCATGGTACATGTACATACACAACACAAGTGGTATAATTTAATTCGCTAGTGCACTCGCCATTTACTCTCAAAAATAAAAAAAAACACAAAAACTACTTTTCATTTAATAATTACTGTTGGAAAAATAAATTACTAGCTCCCCGCTTCTCTATAACGGCCGGCAAACATCTTGAACAATACATTTAGTTGCGCAGAAGTCGATTTTGGGGTCTTTTTGGCGGGGCAAGGGGGAATGCGCGCGCGCTCTCTTGCTATTGGTTAATCATTTGGCCTTTGCGTCCCGCTTCTTTCCCCATGTTCCGTTTAGTCCCGAATACACTTATCTCCAATTTTGTTGGCCCAATTTTGCTGTTACTTATTTTCGGTAATAATTGTTTTCTATTGTTGTTATTATTGAGTGTCATTTGTTTATTATTGTTAAGTTTTATTTGATTGTTATTGTTTTAACTTTTTGTGTTGAGTATGCCACGAAAAAGTAACATTGTTATAAAAAGACAAGCCAGGAAAATAATATATGATGTATATTGTTTCATGAAACAAGAATCATCTAAAGAGATTGCACAAGCTGTTTGTGCATGTCTGTCATGTTCTTAAAATTTTAAATTGAATTTTTTCATTCCTAATTATTACTAATACTCAAAATAGGTCAATTATTTTGTCTAAAAGTGTACGTGCGCGAAACTTCCCCCACTACGCCGCTTTTTGTTTAAGAAGTTTGCCGGGCGTTATACCTTGTTTAGATCTTTGGATGTCTGTAGTGTAAATAAAACAACAACATCTATACAATACTTTATTCACCACTGTATCCTTACATAACAGTTTCATTGTCGAAATACATTAATGAAAGATGTTAAAGCCAGTAAGTATATTGCGTGTTTCCATTAACACATTCTAACAATGAGAACATCGGCATCTGTATTTAAAAAAAAATTAAAAAACATGATTGTCTATTGGCTGAATTTCTAAGATGGCGTTCCCGCTCAAACCGCTGTCATTACGAAAAACGTTAATTGGTGATTTTTAATTGTTTTTTTAATCCAAAGCAGCAGCACCAGAGATAATTTCGATAAGTTCTCTGGTAATTACAGCTTGGCGAGTTCTATTGAATGTCAAAGTGAGTTTTTCAATCATTTCTCCCGCGTTCTTGGATGCGTTGTCCATGGCCGTCATACGGGACGATTGTTCAGAACACGCGCCTTCCTTCAGCGCGTAGAACAACATGGAGGCCAAAGAGAACTCCATATAAGATTGTACCACGTCGCTGTCTAAAGAATCATAAACCGCCAGCTTCGGAGCCGCCTGAAATATTATTTCATTATTATGTGAGAAATAAAAATATAACTTATGTTATCTATACTATTATAATAAAGCGTAAACACACACTTCTTTGTTGCCTAAGATGTCAGCAATTACAGCATATTTTTGAATCATTATTTTTTTAATAAAAAGCCCAACACTTACGTTACGCTTTAGGCTATATATTTTAACATCATTAAACTTAGGGGGTAAATGTTTTAGATAAAAACCCTAATGTGGGAAAGAGACCATAAGTTGCTGCCAACATCAAGGAAGCGAGATTGCCAAGGTTTGTCATGTCATGTCATTTTGACATTTGCAATTGATAATTTGACAAATGTAAACAATAAAATAAAATTTTCATAATTTGATGCGGATGAAGCCGCACGCGAACAGCTAGTATTAGTACATAGATAAGTTACTTCGACAGCTTTCCTGCTGAAGAGCGGCAGGTCCGCCTGAGCGTAGGACACCACGGACTTGAACTTGTTGAAGATGATCTTGCCGGAGCCGAAGTCGTACCCCGAGGAGAGCACGGCGTCCGCCAGCCGCGCCGCGTCCAGGAACGTGGGGGGGAGACGACCGATCTGGGGACATCAAATAATAACCTAGCTTTTGCCCTTGACTCTGTCCGCGTTAAATAAAAAAAATTAAGTAGCCTATGTGTTCTTTCAGACTATCCTCTACATCTATACCAAATTTCATCAAAATCCGTTCAGTCGTTTAGGCTACAAACTCTAACAAACATCCATCCATCCATTTAAACTTTCGCATTTAAAATATTAGTATGAAGTATGATTAATGCGAAAGTATAAAGGGATAGATGGTTTGTTAGTTTGCAGCCGAAACTGCATATATGTAGTCCGGAAGAACACATAGGCTACTCCCATTTGTTCTTTTTTTTTAAGTTTTTAAGCTAGCGCTTGACCACGACTGAGTGAAGATTTAGTCGAAAGATGGTACGCGCTATCCTAATAAATAAAATAAATAAATAATTTTCACAGGGGATGAAATGCCGGCTGAAGCTAGTATTTCAATATCTTACTAATTAATTGGTTAGCATAAATGTTTGGTTTGTTATTTAGTCTAAACTGCTGATATCTTGATGAAATTTGAACTACTTGATTTGAACTATTTTGAATCTCTTTGGTTCCGAACCTCCAGTTATTACCTCATTAGCCACACTAATGATGTGTTTCCCGTACAGCCGCTGCAGAATACCACGAGACTTGTCTCCGACACAGATAACCTTTATGTTCTCCGCACCGGGCTCGCTCAGTCGGTTACGAATCACCTTGGATACTCCGGTGTGCACCGCTCCACACAGACCTATACATTTAAAGAAAAAAAATCTTACAAATGCAAACTAGCTTTAGTCCGCGAACCCGTCCGCGTGAATTTGAAAATTAAAAGTGAGTAGCTATGTGTTCCTCCAGACTATGTACATCTATTCCAAATTACATTGGAATCCGTTCAGCTGTTTAGGATACAAACTTAAACAAAAATCCATCCTAACTTCTGCATTTATATGTATGATGTAAGATTTGGATGGATGTTTGTAACCAAAATGGCTTAAAAGATCCCAAAGAAATTTGGCAATGTCTATATCCATTTTCTAACAGTTTGTTGAGAATGTTCTTATTTGCAAACTGTTTAGGGAAAAAGCTAGTTTATAATTTAAGATAAAATCTTTGGTGTCAATCATTTTATGTTTAAAAATGAAACTTAAAACATAACAAATCAAACTAAACAGATGATAGACAACTAAAAGACAAAAAAAAATCTTTCTACTATGTTCAAATTTACACAGAAGTTTTTCAAGTTAATTACAATAAACATTATAAGTCAAAAAATTGTCGCTTACATTAGTTTATGTATGCCATTCATATATATAAAAATGTTGCCTGTCCCACCACTGGCTGATAGAGGCTCAGATAGCATAAAAATGATGTTACTGTCAGAATCGGGTAACAAAATCCGATATTTCTATCATATATTTTACATGTTGGATTGTTCAGACAATTTACAATTTGATGGGACAGGCCCTAACTGTAGTAAACTTTATTTGAAGTTGGTAGGTAGTATTAAAAAACTTACCCCTGTCGGAGGTCATGGCAATGTAAAGTTGTTTGGGCTCATCTTCAGGTGGCGCTACCTGGATGTAAATAAACATTTGATTAATCTCAGTTTAAATGACTAAAAACCAAATATTCTGTACTGTTATACCTTTTTTTGAGATAGTAAATATTATATTTCATAGGTGTATGCAGACAATTATGAAAATATATACTATATTACTAATATGAGAAGTTTAAGATGGATGGATGATTGTTACTTAATATCTCCAGAACAACTAGGTTCTTACTAAAATGTGACAAATTTAGGATAGTCTGGAAGAACACATTTACTATAGCTTTTATTTCCGCAAGAATGGAGTTGCTGATGACAGTTGATTTCTTATATAATTATTTAACATTTTGTTGTATATCTTTACACCAACTTAATGTTACTAACCTCAGCCCTTTCATAGAAGAGCACAGCACCTTCTCCGTAAGGACGCGCCGCTTTCAGGTCACGTTCAGCACGAGTGTATCTGAAATTATTATGAGTTAATTTACTTTAACGGGAATACTTTTATAATATCTCTGGAATAAAATCAATTTCGACAGTGCAGATTTAAAAAATGGGGTAAAATTAGTGTGTGAAAAAAGTCTCTTTATGTAGGTTTTCTTCTGTAAATATACATTTCACTGTAACTATTTTCACTCACTTGGAAAGGTTATTTTTTGGTAAACGTTTCTCTTAATTCTACTTACTTTGCAGCTGACACCATCTTCATAGACTGGGTAATCTTTTGGATGTTCTTAACTGACTTCAAGCGAATGGAAATGGCTTTCAAAGTGGCCATGTTACGCGTCTGCTGGTTGTTGACCACCATGGTCACCTGGGCGCAAACACCAGGCGCTATACGGCCCAACATTTTTACGGTCCTGTACAACAACAAATTAATTAATATCAGACACCAGGTTATGCCGAAGTTATGTAAGACTGTCAGTGAAGGTTGCAAACTTGTTATCACCGAATACCATAACACATCTCACTATTAACTTAAGAATGTTTTCTAGATAGAAAATTAAACGGTTTCTTAGTGGAATACATACTTTTTAACTCTTTTTGGCCAAATACAGTAACACCAGCCGACAAAAATGTCGCTGGGAAAGACAAGAAGACGTCGTCGTTCTTTGTCTGGGATACCAGCATAAAAAATATTGTGATAACCGGATTTTCTGCAAGACTTTAAAATGTTTTTTTTATTTTTTAATTATCTCTTAAAATTATTGTTTAAACAAAATAGGAATAGAATAAGCTATAATTATATCACAACGTATAAGATTGGATATAAAAAAAATGTAATACAATATTTTGCCTAAATAATCCAAGGCTCGCACATATTTATGTTGTTCTATTACGAGTATAAAGTCAATTTCTAGACGAGTAACATTTAAACTAGTACTAAGGTATCTCCGAAAAATGTTTTTCGTTCTGGCATTAAGATTAATCATTACCTGCAATTAAAAATATTAGAACGTCAATTGTCAAACATGACATTTGACGTTCTTTTTGACGTTTGATGTCAAATACCTGACGTTTTGATAACATTTATTTCTAATTTTCACTTGCTTGTGATTCATTCTTAATTTGATAAACAGTAAACACGCACAAGGACGAAAATGCCTGCACCGGAGAAAAATACACAAACTGATACTCAAGGTAGTGCTGAACAGCCATCAAGGGAATTAAGTCAAACAGATCATATAAACAAGAAATTATTGACTTCTCTCTTCAATCGTATTAACGAAGGCGGTGATTCAATGTTGGAGAAAATGTTGGAACTGGACAATAGTGAAGAAAATGATGAGTGGAAAGATTAATATAAGTCTGTTTACTATTTATACTAAAACTATAACATTGCTGTATATTTTTAAATTATTAAAAATAAAATTTTACTATTACGAAAACTTTTATTTTACTTGTTTTGAAATTTCTACGATTTGCAATTTAAAAACTTTATAGTCTTTTACATATAGTGTGATCAGGAAAATATAAACCCTGATATGAGTATTGATTTCGTTCTTTACATCTTGCATAATTATTTGCAATAAATTATTTTTAATTTTTTCCGCAAAATGACGTAACAGCCATACCAAAAAACACGGTATAAAGTTAAACTTAGGAATAAAGTGAGTATAAGTAAAATTTGTACTAATAATTATATTTAGTTATTATATTTAGGTTATTCCTAAATTTAACTTTATACCGCGTTTATTTGTATGGTGGTCGGTGTTTTAAATTGCTGGTAAAGCTATAGACAAAATAACTATGTTATATAAAATGAAACATTCTTCACTGTATAACTATTTATTCTGAACTAAACTTAAATAACAAACACATAGGTGAGATTTTCCTTATTTAATACCAATAAGATTTTGCTGGTACTCTATCTTCTTTGATATCCATAGACTCCATAATGTCCATTTCAAATGTTGCCAGTTTTGGTTGAAATGTGATCTGCAGATAAAATATAAATTAAGGAATGTTTTAACACTTTTACTAAGATTTTCTAAACAAATTTAAAAGACAGTATGTATAGATTACTATGATGACAGATGACGGATGATAGAGTTATTTGGAGGACGAAAATCCGCTGACCCTACGGGAGGGATAAGGCAGGGGAGATGATGATGATGAGCAGCATACTGTCTCCGTAGGGATTAGGCAAGTTGATGATGTTTTAGTATACTATAGTTGTGATTGTTTATTAATATATAAATGATTGCATACCTTTGTGACATCATCGGCTGTTGTATCCTTATCTGTATTCTCAATGTACAATGCCTTGCTTTTAAAGTCCATAGTTTCCTCTGCAGCTTTCGGAATGGGAATTATTCTGCTACTTGCCAGAGATACTCGCACCTGTTTATTTTAACCTATTAAAACTTACTAAATTACGAATTACAGTTTTCACACATAAAATAAGATTAAATCGCACATCTTAAATTATTGATTTTAATGTTTATTAGGAATCTATACACAAAATAAAATCGATGTGTCTGTTTGTAACTTCAAAAGAAAAATTCCAGACTTCGGGAAGATGAATTATTTGTGTTGCAGATAAAAAAAAATGCATTTAAAAAATTTTTTGTCTGTCTGTCTGTCTGTCTGTCCACAAGCGGCGTTTGTCCTGGTTTATCTCCGAAACGGATGGGCAGATTTCGAAGGGTAGCTGATATGGATAAGCATCTCTGGAACGGGTGGACCAATTTGGACGGGACTTTGCCTGGAAGGTTGATCTTAAAAGGTAGGTTCTTAATTCATATGGGGATGGTTCTGCACTAACAAAGTTTGTGGGCCATAGATTGTTACATATACAATTTTAATTTAGTTTTTTCTCTGCCTCAAATTCTCTAATTGACTGGAATATTCACTTTCATTAAGTTTTTTTTACTTACCTAATTAAGTTTACCGAGACATGGATGGCAGCTACTAAGGTAATGACTATTATAATATCATAACAATTAAAACTAGACAAAACTAACAATTAACTAATATTAAATTGAACCATCATCATCATCTCCTTATCCTACTGCCGTAGGGTCGGCGCAACAGGTTTTTGTCCTCCACATAACTCTATCATACGTCATCTCAGTCATCACTCCCTTGATCATGTCGCCTTTTACACAATCCATCCATCTCTTTCTAGGTCTACCTCTACCGATGTACCCTTCCACACTCATAACTAACGTTCTCCTTGTAACATGCGATTCATCCCTCCTCATAACATGCCCATACCATGCTAACCTTTTACTCCTAACCTTCTCTATTAAATTAAACCATACTTACTTTATCCCCTTCCTCAGTATATCGCCATTCTATGTCAGTGGCTTTCAATGTTTCAGGATCAACTAGCTTCACACCAGTAGTCACTAGGAGTGGTGCTTCCGATTGTATAGTTACTCCGGGGAATTTCTTATCCTTACCAACCTGAAAACATACAAAATAAACTGTAAAAAAACATGAAATTAAGCTGCTGCTTATGACTTTGCCAGTGTAAAAAAACATAACATACATTACTCACTGATAACATAGCTTTTTAATGGTGAAATAATTTAAATAGGCCTAGTATTTTTTGAGTTATTGCAATACATACAAAAATATAAATCTTTCCTCTTTACAAAATTAGTATAAGTGACTTACAATTCGTAAATGTGTATTCAGCCCTTCAACAAATACCCAGTTGCGTTCTTGTACAACTTGGCTTATGATGCCCTGCTTGCCTTTGTCTCTTCCAACCATAATTTCAACACGGTCACCCCTAAATAGTATAAAATTAATTACATCACAAAATTACAAATGAAATTTTAAAATGTATGTTTTATTTTAACATAAGGTGGCAAATGAGCAAGCGGCCACTAGCATCCGCCAAAATGGCTAAGCGAGCGCTGCCCATAGACATCCGCAATTGTAGATGCGTTGCCTACCATTATACAATGGAGGAGGAGATGCGCATAAAGAGGATATTTCCCCTATCTATGCATCTCCTCCACCATCAAATCCACTTCACCTTCCCAACCTCTCTTTATAAGAAAAGGGTGGTAAAGAGAAAGGGACTTAAATGTATCAGATGCACGAAATTACTTGAAAAAGCTCCATTCTCCGACAGGTTCCAAGAAAATCTTCTTCCTTAGCTTATTAGGCTCGTTATCTCGTCTAAACTGCGCCGTCCAAGGCCTATGTGTAGTGAAACGATACTTTTTGCGAGCGATTTGGGCTGCGGGATATTGAGGATAGCCTTTTGGATTCCTCCAATACACCTTTAAAATAAAATAGATAATTATAGGTTATGTTTTGTAACACTTCTTATTTACGACAAAAACTAATTACCTGTTCATAACTTCTTTTAATGTATGATTCTGGTAAATTCGAATATTTGATTGTCAAATCACCAATTTTCTTCCCCAAAAAAGTAAATATTCTCATTTTGAAGACAATATTTTTAAATTACATGCGTCAAAATTCCAATTGTCAATGTCAGTTACAAAACTATGGAATTATCTTGGTTTTTTGCATTGCCATATTCGTATTTCCTTTTTTTTTTTTTGCTGTAAAATAGAAAGGGAGAAGTCTAAAGTAAACATGTATAAGTGACTATCGATGCTTTTGAAATTCCTAGGATTTAACGGATTATTAAAGTAATATATGAAAGTATTATTAATAGCAAAGAGATAATTTTTAATCAATGAACATTTCAACAAGTTAAAGAACCACAATGCGAATTTGTCGCCTTAAACGTTAAAACAAAACGTAATCTCCTCTTAAAATCACATGTTTTACACCTTTTGCTCTTCTTTTGCCCAAGTTTTATGTAGATCACAGATTAATATAACAATTGTTATCTAATAGACAGAAAATAAAAAAATAATTTAAAAAGTATGACCATGTCTCTTTCATAGACAATTGACGTAAATCAGCTGTCCAATATCAGTTGTTGTAGGTGGCAGCACAGCATCACGTGAATTTTCATGGCGGTGTTGTAGGGCTAGTCCCGTATAGTCTTGTGATTTCACCAAAAATCTGCTGTTTCGATTATTTAGTGTTAAACAGCATAATTTTTTGAATACCGGGTGAGTATCATAGGGTGTACAGGCTTGTGGCATGTGAATTTAGGCCGTGGGAGGCATTTGCGCGCGATTGTACATTGTCAAATTTGATATGACTTGTTCTATGGGGTGGTTTGGGGTGTAATTTTAAGACGGGACGGGCGCCAGGATGTCTGGCGTCAGGTTTGGCGCCGATGGCCAAAACTGTATTGATTTAGCTTAGCCGACATAAGATGAGATCGGTCTTTGAATACCATATTACTCCCTGCGGTTCAGAATGGAGGTTCTGTAAAATCGATTATTATAACAAGACGATGTGAATCAGAATTGTTAAGGATGAAGTGGCTAGAGACTTATTGTTGGCTAATGTTGGGTTATTTCCAAAATCGATTATAGTTTTATTAACATTTCCAGTGGTGAAGATGAGTGAATACTGGCTGATCAGTGCCCCCGGCGATAAGACATGCCAACAGACATGGGACACCCTCAACAATGCCACCAAATCTGGCAACCTCAGTGTCAACTATAAATTTCCAATTCCTGACCTCAAGGTAAGTCAATTTCATTCATATATCTGTATACATTTTAGTCTTTGTACATTATGCAATTTATAAATTTATCTTACATATCTAATTGATTGATTCTCTTCTTTTTTTTTATTTTAATATTGCTCTAATAAATAAATAGAATGTAAACTATAAGAGATAGAATACACTTTCCTTAAATTAAATAATAGTTCATTTTGAAATTCGAAATATCCAGATAGATTAAACAAATAATTCTGTACTAAACTGTCAAATAATTACTTTACAAACATGATGGACTTTTTATCTTTTAATGGAGAGTAAAAAAATGTTTTGTATAAAATTTTAACAACTAGTATATAAAGAAAACTACATTTACATATTTATTAAATCTGTATAAATTCTAATAGTAAAAAAATAGTATTGACCAAATACATACTATTAGTAAATTTACTAAATTTTACCTAGTTCTGTATTATCTTATCTCTTTTATATAAGAAAACACTCAAATATACCACTTAGATCATTAAGTACTAGCTTTTGCACACAACTTTGGCTATGCAGAATTTAAAACAAATATGTAGCTTATGTTATTCAGTAATAACATGGCCATCTTATAGTAAAGAATTTTTAAATTGGTCTTGTTGATTTTGTATTTATTCTCTTTCTGTATTTCATACAAAAATATAAATCTGATCTCTTTATTAATTTAGTAAATTTAAATAATAATAGATCTAAAAGCAATTTATTTAGTCTAGTTTGATAATAAACTAACCAAGGTTTAATAAACTTATAGCCTTACATTGTTTACTAAAGTAAATCAAAATTTATAGTACCTAAGACAACTATGGCTTCATTATTAAAGTAATATTACATTTAAGACATCCCTACATGAAGATTTGCATTTTTATCCAATGTGTATAGTCAACTCCATGAGAAATTAAATAACAAGTAAAGAGTAAATGAGTGGACTATGTGTTCTTCAAGACTATGTTCTACAACATGACAAATATCATCCAAAACAGCTAAGCAGTTTAGACTACTAACATCCATCCATCTAAACTTTCGCATTTATAATATTAGTAAGATTAACAAATATCTGTATTAGGTGGGAACACTGGATCAGTTGGTGGGGCTGTCAGATGACCTTGGAAAGCTGGACACCTTCGTGGAAGGTGTTACACGAAAAGTGGCCCAGTACCTCGGAGAGGTTTGTACTTTTAACTTTATTTATGAATATGTAATCTCATCATCTCCCCTACCTTATCCTACTCCCATAGGGTCGGGTTTTGGTCCTTCAAATAACTCTATCATCTGTCATCTCAATCATCACTCCCTTCTTGATCATGTCACCTTTCACGCAATCCATACATCTCTTTCTATGTCTACTTCTACCAGTGTACCTCCACACTCATAACTGACGTCCGTCTTGTTACATGCGATTCATCCCTTCTCATAACATGCCCATACCACTCTAACCTATTACTCCTGATTTTCTCAACCACTGGGGCTACTCCATTTATAGATATGTAATCTTTAGATTGAATGTTTCATACTAGTTAGGCATCTACGTAATATTTTTTTGTATTGTAATGTCCGCATTCAGTGAACTTACCCCATCAATAGGCCTTACTTAAGTGCTTAGGATTACATATTTATATTAAGAGGAATATTGTATTTAAATTATCTGTCGTCCACAGCTTCATTCGAGAGGTATTTAAAAAACTATTACATAGTATAGTAGCCTATGTGTTCCTCCAGACTATCTTCCACATCCATGCAAAATTACATCAAGATCTGTTCAGCTGTTGAGATAGCCGTTAAGTTTTCTAACGATAGTTCGTCTTAACTTTCGCATTTATATTATACTGACTGTTGCTCGCGACTTCGCCCGCGTGAAAAATATAGCCTCACAGTTAAATTACCTTTCTTACAGTGAAAGAATTTTTAAAATCGGCTCAGTAGTTTTTGAGTTATTTCAATATATACAAAAATACAAATCTTTCCACTTTATAATGTTAGTATAGAAATATAACTTTTAATCGGAAATGTGGGGAAAATCTGTATTTTCCCTTTTATTTTATACATCTTCAACTTTCCGTCAGGTTCTTGAAGACCAACGGGACAAGCTCCATGAAAATCTGATGGCCAACAATAGTAAGTACTGTTTTATTTGTTTAAATCATTTTATAATATAATATGGCACTAAACATGATGTTAAATTGTCGTAGATGTTTCAGAGTTTGTTTAGTGCCATCTAGATGGATTTGGTAATACATTAAAAAACTAGGATCCATTAGAAAAAAAGTCATTAAAATGGAGATGTAAAATTTTTGCATGTCAATAAATTTAATGAGAATTCTATATAGCATGTGTGGGATAGAGACAAGGCTATGTTTAAACCCGACAGTGGTGTTGCTAGCATGAAAAAAAACTAATTACGATATAGAAAATGGTGTAGAGGAAATTCAAAAGCACATAGTAGTGCGATACATTTTTTATTATAGCATGTCTTGCTGAATATCCGTGGTTCGTTTATTATTTTTTTTTATTTCAAATATGACTTTAATTTTTTTTAATTTTATATATAAAAACTTTTTTATATTTTGCATGTAACCCTTTACTTTGGTCACATCTACTCACGCATTTCTCAGCTGCCATTATATTAAACATCATACACTAAATGCACAGATAAACATTTAATTTGTACATACTCTATGCAAGCAGATTAAATTACTCTTTGACAAATCATTAGATAATTGAAATAAAAAAATAAAACACGAAAGTATGAATGTCGTTGTTAATAGAGGACACATGTTTAAAATTAATAAATAATAATAACCGTACTTAAACGAAAAAAAAAAACCTTTAGACAAGAGTAGATATCATTTTTTTTAAATTTGACAATGACATTTTTACTCTCAATTTATAAAGTTAGCTCGAATTAACAAATCTTCTCTTCATCTCCCAGGAAAAGGAAAAAAAACGTGATTTTTTGATTCGAAATTTAATATACGAGCAATTTCATGTAAAAAAATCAAATGGAAAAAAGAAAGGAAAGAAACCCGTTATTTTTTTATTCAAAATTTAATCTAAAATAACATAGACGAGCATTTTCATGTAAAAAAATAGATTTTTTTGAAAAAATAGAACTATAATTTCAAGTATTTGTAGGTTAGCTGCATGTATTATTTTAATCGTTAGGTTGACAAATAATTTTTTATGTATTTTTTAAAATTGGCATGCAATTATTTGAAGAGAAGTTTTGTTCTCACACAAAGCACGTAAAGCTAAGAATGTTGAGTGGACAGTGTTACACGAGGGTTCATTTATTTAAGACTATTTGATACCCAATGTACATTTGCATCATTTTTGTGTATTGTATATATGTGAGATATTTTGGTTGTTGCACTTTATTATAATATTGGATTTTTGAACTTTGTATTACGAGAACTTCAATGCAGCAAAAAGTTTTTTCCTATTTTTAATCTATCGCCTATAGTATTGTTAAATTTTAGGACGTTTATAATTCTATTGAACTTAGTAATCAATAAAAAAGGTTGTTCATATTTTTTTTACAATTTTTTTCTAAAAAAAATTTTTTTGAGGTTATAAATATGTATTTATCTATGCACATTACACATAATTGCTTTTTTCACATATGATTTACGAATGAATTTTGCATTATTTTAATAGTATTTATAGAGTTTATTAGATTTCATGAATGCTAGATTTGGGATTGCATTTCAGTGTCTGAAAAGTGGAAAAAAATTTGCGGCAGTGAGTAAATTAGTTTATGATATAGTATCGCTTTTATTGCGTGAGCTTTATTTCATATGTTGCCGCTGTGACAACTATTATATGTAGCCTGAAATATATTTATAAGCAATTTATTATCTGTATTATACAAACGTTTTATTTGAATTTGAAAATGATTAAAAATCGAATAAATAGAAAATATTTTTTTTTTAAAAAAATCGTAAAATATTCCTGTTTTGACAGTAATACTTTTTAATGGTAATATTTTAATGTTTTGAAAGATTTTAATAAGCCGTGAAACGGAACGTAAATTATAAAAAATGTTTGTCATTATTTTATATTTACTATGTAAGAATGTAAAAAGGGTTCCTAGTCTATACTTTTAGGTCGAAGTAGGAAGAGAAGAAAGGAAGCCGAAAGGATATCTAGTAAAGAAGCTGTATGGATCAATCTATACAAATGGATTGTCCTTTAGATAGAAGACGTAGTCTCTTGATGGCGACTTAAAGCAATGATGAGTGAAGATTGAAAAATGGAATTAAACATATCTTCTTTCTGTTGAACAGATGGAAGAATGGTTGAGTCAATTTTTGCGGAACAGAGAAATTAATTCAACGATACGCTGCATCGGCGATTACCTGCCATTTAAATTGAAGTGTAACAAATGTAAAAAATGTTCAATAATGATAAAAAAAAGCTGTATTATATTTATTTATTCCATAGGATATGAACAGTTTACCACAGAAGTGAGAAAGACAAGATAAAATCTGCGTTCAGAAATACTTGTCTAATCACAGCCATTTTCAGAGGAAATATTATCTGTCGTTTTTAGATGTACATTATTTATCTGTTCGATGTAAAGTATGATTTAAATATATTCTCGTCTGTTAGTTACTAACAATTTGTAATGTTTAAGATTAGTTTGCACAATTGTGAATTAAAAGAAATCTAAAATGTCCATAGACATCCCTAGACGATCGTAATCACTGCCTCACAAGACATTCATAGCTTAGCCATCAAGCTTTCATATTGTCTATGCTTTACGCTTCTTTTCTATTATTATGTCTATTTTCTTTTATTGTTTCGATCCTATCCTTTTTACTAATATCCCATTTTTTGTTCCGGTTGAGTCGTGAGGCGACACGTTTATCGGTCCCGCGATATTGAGATTCACGCATCACATGCATATTCAAAATTAATCGGAGCGTATATTGGCATAAAGAGGTTTAGACTAGTCTTAGTCAATAATATAAATACTAGAACAGTCTAAATATTTTACAGAATCGATAACAAATACGCACTACCGAGTGCCGATACATAAAACGCTCCTCGGCCAGATTGTTAATGTCGCTAGGACGAAAGTTAAAAGGGCGGTCGGGTTGACGCGATCGCCTCGGACAAGGTCGGCTACTCCAACGCCCTCTGTGCGGACCGCAGGCGAGACGTGCGCCGACCCCGGGGGGGGCGAGCCTCCCCCCTCGCCCACCACGCCCACCTCGCCGGTCTGCGACTCGGCGTACTCTGACCAGCACGGCTGTTGGCCCTGTGACCACCGCCACTCGGAGGGCGAGGCCTCGCAGCCCTCCAGCGGCCGCTGCTCGCCGCGCTGGGACGAAGAGGAGGACGAACGGACGCACCACATCCTCACCCAAGGTTTAGGCCAGGACCGACCGAATCCCACATCCCAAATCCACTCATTTGATCGGAATTTGAGGCTACTCGCTTACCTCGACACAATACCTAGTTGCCAAGTCTCAAATGCTGCTCAAATCGCTCGTGCAGGCCCTGTAAAATGCTGTTATATGTAGATAAAAAACGGAACTTGCCAAGTTTGCGTTTTTTGCTAGCGCTGCCTGTCGACATTTTTTTATATTTTTTTTATCAGGTACATTCGCATAGGTTGTGATGGCAGTGATTGCGTTTCGTTTAACACAATTGTGAAGTAGTCGTTAATTTTAAGTATTTGAATTTGGAATTGAGCAGGTGGCGCTGGTTGCGCTGTTTATGCGCCATTTTAGTTCTTTTTTCTAAATGTCAAACGTCACGTTTGTTGCAACGCCACACTGTCTATGTAAAGGGCTAGGTAATTCCGAATCACAGACCTTTTGTTGTGTCTATTATAATATAATTGTGACTGCTAATAAAGACATTTGGGTTGATATTTATAAAAAAAAAAACAATCGCTGGTAATATAGTTACATTAAAATACAAACTTATAAATATCAGCCTAAAACCATCTTTATAGAGGGCATTTTGTGGTACTAGATTTGTTTAGTAACAATTGAATTGTAAGTTTGTATTTCTATATATTTTTTAATTAATTCCATAAATACCCTCGTATAAACACGCTTATAATAATGTAGCTTAATTATTTTAATTTCGCTTTTATTGTCTTTGCAAATAAAATTATTTTTTTTGTGGCAACATTTTCTTGTGTCAATTTTCCCGCCACTTAACCTTTATAATTCCGGCTAATTATTCCAGTACTGAGAATTTCTCGTATATTTATGAACGTATGACGTAGCCGGGATGCGGATACACGCAAGGCGTAATTTATGGTGCTATAAAAAGCCATTCAACACAATGTCGACCTTGGACCTAATAGCTGTTATGTTTTGACCTAAATCCTAAATCGTATTTACTGCATTTTATGTTATTAAACTATACATAGATTGCATAGAATATATTTACTTATTTATTTATTTATTTATTTATTTTAAATCTTGTGTGATTTTTTTAATATGTAGTTTATGATATTTATATGTATAATGTGTATAGAAAAAATATGTAACTGACATTTTCAATTTCGTTCAGAAATTCACAGGGCAATATAAACGAGCGTTTATGAGTTCGTTAAAAAATTAGACTGTTTTATTCAAAAAGCGATCTGTATTTTTGGCTTGCATTGAGGATAGATAGTAAAAGACTTTTTTATTGTTGTTTGCATGTTTGTAACGCATGATATAAATTTTAGACATCTGTTAAAATCTGACGTCTGTAACGGTTTTTTTTTTAGAACGTTGATTGTATTTTTTTGTTTTTTTTTTTCTTATAGCTAATGGGTACCAACGGCTAGAAAGTTTCCTCAGGTTAAAAGGTGATTCCTAGAGTGAGAAATGCGCCTAAAGCTCGTAGAATAACAATATTGATAGCTTTGGCTAAGGATTTTGTATTTGATTTTAATTGGTTTTGCGAAAAATGTTTCTCGCTTTAATTTTAAACTTAGTAAGAATAACTTTATGTGTTAGGTCATTTTGTGCCGTCTTATAATGGAGCATTTAATTAATACAAAATGCAGATATTTTTTATTATTTTTTTTTTCAATGTAATTTTTTAAAGTAAAAAAATTATTGTAAAACACAACACTGAAACTATAGAAGCTATTATCATATATCTATTTTCTAATGAAGAAAAAACGTTTTTAAAGCACTTTAGTTATTTTTTCTTTTTTATTTTATGGCACCGTTTTTATTATCTTTTTTTCAAGTCTTAAAAACCTTTTTAAATCATCTCGTCATATACAAGATTTTAACAGATGCAGTGAATGTTTTTTTACCTTTTGATGTTATGCATGATTCCTGTTTAGAATACATGTTTGTCTACCATTAAATGGTTTTTTTTTGCTTTTTTATTTTTTTATTGGTTTCATATTTGTTTCAGCACTTACAGCAATAAGAAAATATTGTTTTTATACTAATTTTAAATTAATATATCTCACAACATTGGTTTTTTAGTCTGTGGAAATTTTTACAGTTTGAATTATGGAGATTACTAATACTTTGATATATGTTGTGAGATTGTTTTGTGTTTTGATATGTTTCATAGACAATTCTAGACTTTTTATTAAAACGATTTGTCTATGGTACATTAGTTGTGTTTTCAAATGTTCATTAGAGTACAGGAAATCGTATAACACAAAAAACTATTACATGATAAAAAAAAATAGATTTCCTTGGCCCTAACTTAAATTGAAAGTTATAAAGTTGTAATAATTTACTAAAGATGGTTTATTGTGTGTGTGATATTCCAGGTGACCTGCCGACCTACCTGACGCGCTTCCAATGGGACATGGCCAAGTATCCCATCAAGCAGAGTCTGCGTAACATCGCTGATATAATCAGTAAACAGGTTCGTATAATCTATGTCTTGTCAGACCATAGACTAAGTAAAGATGACTTAGTCCTCTATCCTTTTCTACCCTTTTGTTATAAGTAAAGGATGGTTTGAGACAATGGATTTGATGGAGAAGGTGATGCGTGGAGGGGTCATCCGTGGAGGTAGACTTAGAAAGAGATGGATAGATTGCGTGTAAATATCAAGAAGGGAGTGATGACTGAGATGACTGATGATAGAGTTAGTTGGATGACGAAAACCTGGTGCGCCCCACGAGAGTAGGATAAGGTAGGTGATGATGATGGTGTGTTTGTTGTAGGTGGGTCAGATCGACGCGGACCTGAAGGTGAAGTCATCAGCATACAACGCTCTCAAAGGCAATCTGCAGAATTTAGAGAAGAAACAAACGTATGTGTTGATATTGAAGATGTTAAATCTGGATTTTTGTAAGATGGTAATTTGTCGGTGTATTTTAGTGGCAGTCTGCTGACCCGTAACTTGGCTGATCTGGTGAAGAGAGAGCACTTCATCCTTGACAGCGAGTACCTCACTACGCTGCTTGTCATCGTGCCCAAGTAAGTATTACTTGTTAAGGAACACTGTACTTTAGTGTGGTTAGTGAGAGGAAATTATCAAGGTATAGTTTAAAATCTAAAATGACAACAAAATAACCTTATATTGTAGCGAAAAACCAAATAATTGATACAGAAAAGGTTATCGGTTTGGTCCTTCAATTCGGATAGATTTTTTTTCTTAGGCAAAACAAACCAAATATCGGTTTGCATGATTTCTTTGGCTTTTATAATTATGCACAGGTGTCCCAAAATTCGACATTAGAGCGACTTAAACAATTTGATACTTCTCAAGTACCTTAACAGGATAAAATTTTAATCGGCCTTCAATAACCCAATCAGGCAGTATCCAAGTGTTAAATACCTTTGTGAAGTCCTATTTATGAACATCCTGTGTTCGCAGGTCGATGTTCAACGACTGGAACGCGAACTACGAGAAGATCACCAACATGATAGTGCCGCGCTCCACGCAGCTCATACACCACGACAACGACTACGGACTATTCACCGTCACGCTCTTCAAGAAGGTATGCGCGCTCTCTCTCTCTCTCTTTCTCTCTCTCGTTTTTCTCTCTCATCTCTCTCTCTCTTTCTCTCTCTCATATCTCTCTCTCTCTCTCTCTCTCTCTCTCGTTTTTTCTCTCATATATCTCTCTCTCTCTCTCTTACTACTTTTATCTAGCTTAACCCAACCAATTTTAATGTTAACCTTTAAACAAACCCTAATAAATGGAAGATTAATCTGAATATTATAGTTAACTATTTTTTACCCGTAACTCCTACCGCGTGGAATTAAGAAAACACAAAAGTAGGCCATGTGTTCTTCCAGACTATGTCCTATATCTATGCCAAATTTCACCCAGAACCGTGCAGCAGTTTACAACAAACATTCGTCTAAACATTCGCATTTATAATATTACTAGCTTTCGCCCACGACTTTGTCCGCGTGAAAATAAAAAAAAAACAAAAGAAAGTAGCCTATTTGTTCTTTCCGACTGTCATTTATGCAAAGTTTCATAGAGATCCGTTCAGCAGTTCAGGCTACAAACACTAACAAACATCCATCCTATTGACGTCAATTCAATATCTTAATCGAAACATATCGTTACGATCTATAATTATTTAGTGGAAATATGAATTGTGATATTGAGGATTACGACTACACTAACTATCAAGACGACTATTTTGTTGAAATACCTAAGTACCACGCCTACAAGATGTCATAAATCACCCGATATTGTCTGATGTTAGTCGAAAGACTTTTCCACCTATCTAAACTTTCGCATTTATAATAATAAGGTTAAGATTAAGATGTACTTATGTAGGTAGTGGACGAGTTCAAGCTGCACGCGCGCGAGCGCAAGTTCGTTGTGCGCGAGTTCTCCTACAACGAGGCGGACCTCGCCGCGGGCAAGAACGAGATCACCAAGCTCGTCACCGACAAGAAGAAGCAGTTCGTAAGTATATCTAATTAATTATATACAAATTTTATCTGTACTTCTGTACTATTATAATAAAGCGTAAACACACTTCTTTGTTGCCTAAGATGTCAACAATTACAGCATATTTTTGAATAAATTTTTCTTTAATAAAAAGCCCTACACTTGCATCACGCTTAAGCTATATATTTTCACGCTGTTAAACTTAGAGGTAAATATTTTGGATAAAAACCCTAATGTGAGAGACCATAAGTTGCTGCCAACATCGAGGAAGCAAGATTGTCTTCATGTCATGTCATTTTGACATTTTTAATTGATAATTTCACAAATGTAAACAATAAAATAAAATTTTCATATATTCATGATGAAGTCGCATGGGAACAGCTAGTTAATTTATATGCATATGTAAATGATTTATATAGGTAACTGAAATGTATGTCATCTGACTCTAAAACTACTTTTTACTTTTTGAACACCCTGTACAGTTAAGTTGAAGGAAGACCCAGTGGTAATATCAAGTATTAAATTGAAGGGTTTTAAAATCAGCTTTTTTATGTTTTATTACAGAAGTCTAGACATTTATAAAATTTCTATTTTAGTGTTCTAATGTTCAATTTTATATATGAAAATAATTGTTTTTTTAGGGTCCTTTAGTGCGATGGCTGAAGGTGAACTTCTCCGAGTGCTTCTGCGCTTGGATACATGTTAAGGCTCTGCGCGTCTTCGTTGAATCCGTGCTGAGGTGAGAAATATGCCTTGTGCACATCTGGCCAGTACAGTTGAACAGTAACGCAGTATAGGTATGGATTGACTGGTTCCAGTGTTCATGTTATGCCAGTCCAGTTTTTACTCAACTGTCTAATTTTACTGGCCAAGTTTGAACTGCGCCTTATACCGTAAATACCTAATACAATAAACAAGATCCGGTATTTTAACTGGATGTTATTATCCAATAAAGTGTATGACATCTGGATGGTATTATGCAATAAAAGTATCAAAGCGTGAACGGTATTATATACAGTAGAGGAATAAATTATTGATGATGTTATGCAATAAGGGTATAAGCATGATATTATAAAGTAGTTCAAGTTTTGGATAGCTTTATGCAAAAGTTCTATGAAAGTATAGATTGAATGCAACATATGCATCAAAGGGTGGATGTTGTTATGCAATAAGTTTATAAAAGCGTGGACGGTAATTTTCAGTAGTACATCAAATTGTGGATGGTATTATGCAATAAGTTTTATAGTTTATGGAAAGTGTAAATAAAGTCTATTTTGACGATGTTATGCTATATTTGTATCAAAAGTTGGATAGTGTTTTGCAATGTAATTTATTAATGGTTGGATGTAATAATGCAATGGAATATAAAAATAATAAAACAAAATAAAAGCGTGGACGGTATTATGCAATAAGTGTATCAAAGTTGATGGTGTTATGTAATATGTTCTATGAAAGTTTGGATCGCATTATGCAGTAAGTGCACCAAAGTATGGATGGTGTTGTGCAATAAGTGCACCAAAGTATAGATAGTGTACAATAAGTGTATCAAGTGGCGGATGGTGTTATGCAATATGAACGAAGTAGTAAATGGGTGTTATCGTGCGGCAGATACGGGCTGCCGGTGAACTTCCAGGCGGCGGTGGTGGTGCCGGCGCGCAAGAGCATGAAGAAGCTGCGCGACGTACTGCAGCAGCTGTACGCGCACCTCGACCACTCCGCGCACCAGGGCCACGGACAGGCCTCGGAGGTACGCGTACTCCGCACTCGTACTAGTGCACGTGCACTGCTACTTGTACTAGTACACGCACATTGGTACACTCGTACTATTGATAGGAAACACACTAGTGCACTTGTACTAGTACTATTACATGTACTTAACATATTTTTACTTACATGTACTGTACTTTTACTTTACACATTCGTACTAACACGCAACAGTACTATTAATTTACTCATTAGTACTTACACGTATTTGTACTTACAACATTAGTACACGTACTTCTATTTGTACGTAATTGGACTTAACTCTTTCGTACCTTCACTCGTTTCTACATTAAGTCAATCGTACCTTCACTAGTTTGTACATTAATTTCTATATTTACTGATTTATACATTGATTAATTCCGACTTCGCCTGCGTTAAAATGAAAAGAATATAGGCTATGTTACTCACTGATAACGTGGCTTCAAAATGTTGAAAGATTTATTGTAATCGATCCAGTAGTTTTGAGTTATTCCAATACACACAAAAATTCAGATCTTTCCTCTTTATAATATTACTATAGATAATATTTTGTTTGTTTATTAATGTTGTTCCAGAACGTGGAGATAGCGGGTCTCGGGTTCGGTCAGTCGGAGTACTTCCCGTACGTCTTCTACAAGATCAACATCGACATGATAGAGAAGGCCGTCTAGTTGCTCTTATATATAGGTAAATATGCCTCGTATAAAAAACCTTTATGAGGGAAAGGGACCAAACTACAAGCTGCCAACATTAAGGAACAAGGTTATTATGACATTTGCAATTGATGACGAAACCGCACGGGAATAGCTCGTAATATAAAAATGTCGTTAAAATAAAGCCACAATAATTTATAAGTAGATACGAATAGGATATATGTAGAAATGTCTCTTTTTTTCTCTAAATCTGTTGTGTAACAGTAAAATGTTTGTTTTTTATTAATAAGTGTCTTTCCCCTTCCCAGGTAATGTTACCAGTGGTGGGCGCCGCGTAGTAGTCGCACTGTTACATTGTACAATTTATTTTATTCCCAGTTGTAGTAATTCTAGCAACACCGGCCTCCTGTCAAGCAAATATTAAATCAATTTATTTTTTTCCTATATATTTTTTCTATGTACAGAATTTTTTGATCAAACGATTTTTTAATCCTGTTTTTAGTTTGTTTTTGCGTATTTTCGATGCAGGTTGTCGATGACATTTTTTAAAATATTTAATGTTGCCATTTTAAAAAAGGATTTAAATATAAAATATTTCCGTGGATCGCTTTGGCTTTCGACTACAGGTTAATGCAACAGATATTTATATATACAGTATTATTGAGTTGCGTTTATGTTTTAAAAATATATAGATATTAGCGTTTCGGAAGCCTGTATATTAAATGTTCGATGAAATTGATTATTGGAGTTTATTGAATGCAAAGCTATGTACATAAGAACATTCCTCATAACTCGTGTAGTACATAATAAAATATTATTCAAGTTACTGTTACCTCGTGTTTTATTTCTAACCTCAATTTACGCCCTGATCAAAAACCATAGACAAACTAAACATTTATGAATAAAAAAACCCTAATGCCTGGTTAGACTTGGCCAGTATAATTAGCATAACTGGATTGGACTCTCAACTGGTATAATGGGAACTGGCGTCAGTCAACTCATTCCTGACTTGCAGTGTACTGTATCAAGTGTTTTATACCTGTGTTATTTCAATAAGATATGTTGAACCGTGGCAGAATGATCGAGTAAACATTAAAAACTAAATTAATGAATCCCACGGGAACCATTACTATTCCCGGGATAAAAAGTAGCCTATGTGTTCTTCCAAACTATGGTCTATATCTGTGCCAAATTTCATGGAGATCCGTTCAGCCGTTTAGGATATAAACGCTAACAAACATCCATCCATCCATGCAACTAAACTTTCGCATTTATATTAGTAAGACTAGTTATAAATAGCGTTATCACATAAAGTATGTTTGTAATCATAACTAACAAATAATATTATTAGAAAGATAACATTAGATAAATCTATCACAGGGGGCGCGGGATTACGTAAATATTATGCGAGTAAGGAGGGAAATATGCAAATGACGTGAGTTAGGTTAGGTTAATGCGTAACGCAATAACTTATAATTGTTTACAAAAATAAAGGAAATGTTATTGCAGTTTCCACGACCTTTAACCAAATTACCATATCCAAGTTAGGTTAGATATAACCTAAAAAAATTAGCTGTCAAACTTGAAAAAAAAAAACTTTTTGCTTGTTTTTTTTTTTAGTACAAATACGACAAGACGAAGATAAATGTGAAAAATCACGATTTTCGAAACCAATATACTCCACTGAGAATGAAACTCAAGAAAATAGCAAGTTAACTTTTAAATTAGTAATGGTAAAAGTTACGTTTAATCGAATTTGTGTTATATCAATTACAACATAAAGTCTAATATCAATTGTAGCAGACTGACGCATCGTTCGGTGCAACGCACCGCACATTACGCAATGATAAAGTATGTGGGTTTGTTGTTCGATAAATATTGCTTGACTTGATTTTGCACAAAAACTGGAACAATGATAATGCATTTCGTTATATTTTCTTTAGATTATCTTGCTAACATAAATATAAAAGTTTTGATGTGTGGATGTTTGTCACAACGAAAGTCCAAACCGGCTGAACGACTATAAAATAACTGGACGTCGCCTAGTAGTAAAAAAAATAAATTAAATTTAGAATTTTCGACATTCTAGGGGAGGCCAGCAGTCCCATAATTAGATGCAATGTTTTGAGCGACGCTGGGTACAGTTCATTTCCATTAGTTACAAATGCAAATATTTCTTTCACCGTAAACACTGACCTACAATCGGTCATTACCGTCACGAGGATTTTTATCAAAATCACGCACTCGCCATGCGTCTGGCGCTAGTGTCGCCGTGACGGAATTAATATATCCGAAAATGATAATTTAATCTCTTACCTAGCCAAATATCGTATTTGTATCTTAAGTTCTGAGCAAAGGGAGATCCAACTAAGTGCACTATAAGCACCAATCAGTAATCTAAATCTAATAAGCCTCATTATAGAACAAAATGTTACTTAAACTTTTCTTGAATATTCCTTCCGGCTCTCTTTTATTCAAATTACAACAGAAATAAGACAACTAATTGGTTGTTTTCATGGTATAAAACAATCCTTTTTATAAAATCTTCGTTGCATGATTTACATTATTTTATTATAGCAATTTAAATAATAATTTGTGGCCATGATCTTGGGTTACATAATAATGCATATTATTATTTACTTGCTGTTGCTCGCGATTTCGTCCGCGTGGAATTAATAAATAGTGACAAGTATAACGATGTTACTGATAACGTAGCTTTTTAACGGTGACAAAATTTTAAAAATCGGCCCAGTAGTTTTTGAGTTATTTCAATGTATACAAAAATACAAATCTTTCCTCTTTATAATATTAGTATAGATATTGAAGTATATATAGCCAGTTATAACTTTAAAAACTAGTGAATTAAAAAACATTTTATAAAATTAGTTAAGGTTTCTGTGCTATAAATTGAAATGTAACGGAAAGTTACCTCTTGGCAGTATAATTTGGGTTACCATTGCCGCGACACACAAAAACAATTTATAAAAGCATATTGCCATCTCTTTCTCTCTCACTATCTCTGCTAAAATTAAAACAGAGACAACAGTACGTACGTGCCTTGGTTTAAGAAATCTAGCAGTAGATATAGATTTTTTTTAATTTAATGTTTAAATCAGAATGTTACAGTCGTTTTGTAATGTGCATAAACATGCATTTGTCGTATTTTTATTTTAATAATAAAATAATTTTTTATTCATATTTATAACATGTGAAAATTTTGTCTCAAAAGCTATTGTTATTTTTTTATTTATTCTTCCTTGACCTTGCATGTCTGTATATTTATCTCATAGTGACGTCACATTATCTATGGTACGATTGATATCGAAGATTTATCTTGAAGGATTTTTATATGTATTTTGAACTTTGCTTTTTGTATTTTCGAATGAAAGATAATTCTAGCTTTTCCTTACATTATTGACTTCCCTCTTACACATAAATGACAAAAAGCATAGATGGATGTTTGTTAGAGTTTGTAGCCTAAACGGCTGAACGAATTTCGATGAAATTTGGTATAGGTGTAGAGGATAATCTGTCTGGATGAACACATGGGTTTCTTACTTTTTTTTCCACGCCGATGGAGTCGCGGGCGGTGCTAGTAATATGTACTTTCTTCGCTCTAAATTTGTTCGGTTGACAATATAAACAATTACGTGACGTCATAAGTCATCAAGATTTACATTGATAATTCATAATCCCTTAAATAATTCGTTTGAAAGTCAATGAATCACGTAAAGAACGCATGCTTGCAATCCCTTTGGCAACGAGATAAATGCGCCGATAAAAATAAACGTTTTCATTTATTTGTAAAGAATGTAGAACTCCATTGTACATATAAATATCGCCATCCTTTACATTTCCTTTAACAAATGAGGGACAACATAACTATGTACAGACAACAGAGTGATTAGAGCCCTTAGTTATTCGACGTTCTCTTTTAAACCGACTTCCCAAAAGAAGTCACTCAATTCGTCTGCATGTTTTTTTACAAGCTTATGTGATCCTGCAATTCTCAGACAGTAGATTCTCAGCCAACAACGACTCCTAACCCCGGCATATACGAATATCACAGTAGATCTTATCGTAAGGAGAAATAATAACGAAACTAGCTTAGTAACTAAGCATTGATTTTTAAAATTCCTGTGTTTGATCCTCGCCTACAAATGTTTTTTTTTATTTAACTTGCGGTAAAAGAAAGAATTTTTAATCTGCATATCAGTGAAGAATTCAGAGATAGGTAGTAAAGTTGGCATTTGGCCAGCGTGGTTGAAAGGCCTAGTAATCTGCAAAGAAATAATTAAATAGTAAACGAGCAAATTATTTATAGAATTCTTATTAACAATTATTAGAAATCGTAATATTTGTGTCTATAATGTATTAATCAGAACGTGAAAATAAAAAATTTGCGACTCGATGAAATTGCTGACATAACCTAGAATGAAATACTGCAATTCGGTACGCAACCACTGTTTGTTAAAACTAAAAGACTATTCAATAATGATTTGAAGACACTTATTTCTTTAATAAGTTTAGTTATTTTCAAATATTTAATATATCACAGCTGTGTGCGTGTTTGTAAACACGTAAACACGCTGTATTTACGTCAAATTAGTCACAGTGTGCATTCTAAAGTCTTGTTTATGTTGAGTAACATTTTGTTGATGTGACATTCGCGCGCCGAACGCCGGTTCGATCGAACGTTTTATAGCATACCTATTACGTATTAGGCCTTTTTTTACGCTGCGTTTCTGCAACTATGGATGTTTTCTTGAAATTTATTTTATTGTGTTTGTGCTACCAATCGGCGATTTGTAAGGTAAATAACAAATTTAATATATTTTTTTTAGTTTTAATAATTACATATTTTGTAAGGATACATAATTTTTTTTAACAATTTTTCTTGTTAAAAAACTTATGTATTTCTTATAAAAGCATTTTAGAAATGTATTTAAATATTCCATATTCGAATCTATAGGTAAAAATTTGCGTAGCCTATTCCTTAAACCGCAGGATATAAAAAGAAAATTATTTAAAATATTCATTAAATATTTTTTACACTTATAAATTATTAATCTGTGTACAGGAATTTTTAAAAACTTTGGGAACAACCTCAAAATAAGCTTCCTTAAATCTCTGTAAAAGAACTGTTATAGAATATTTGAGTTCTTTGTAATTGACGACACTAAAAATATGCTACGTATATTAACAACATTGAGTAGGAGATGGTTATTTCTATTGTCTTGTATGATGCGGGTATTTGATCAAATTGAACAATTGATTTTTCATTAGAGTACCCAGAACAAAGTTATTGGTCGAATCAATAGGTTACAAAATGAATGCAAAATATTTGTTTTATAACAAATTTAAGTAACTAGTTAATGTACTTCAGGTCACATTTAATATATTTACATAACACTGAAATTGTAAACATGATAAAATGTTTTTTCGTAAATAACAAAGGCAAAAGTTATCACTACAATATCGCACGTAAAATGGATCGCAGGTCAGTTTTTAAAAGTGATTCGAACTTTTTAAATTCAATAAACTGGCCAGTGTTTAAAAATATTTTGCTGTTTACTTTTCACCGATTAAATATTAAAATGACTATTAAATAAAAATCGTACGTTTGTCGTTTTAAAAATAATTTCTTTGTTTCCTTTCAATAATAAAATACACCTTTGTCCAAGGAGTTTTAAAAATAAAAACCTCCATGCACAAAGCCGAATGCATACGTGACGTTGCCCACGTGCGCCCTACAAAGGGAGAGAGAATTAAAAAGTAAAAATTGGGCCGGATAGATCATGTTAGAAAGAGACAGTATATTACAAAGATATGCATCAGAGAGAGGAGCAAGATGTCACGCACTTAACGCATGCTGGGGTCAGTGAACAGTGGTTATAAATGCGTTTGGAGTTTTTTGATTATAGCAGATTTTGCTTTCCACCCAGAGACGTACTTGGTACCTGATACTCTTAGGGCATCTTTAGTATTAATAACGTCTTAATATGTGTGAATACGAAATAATGGTAGTAGTATTAATAATGGTAAGAAATACCGCAAAACGATTTTCTTAAATGGGCGTCCATAATATATGTACAATCGGGGAAACTGACGGTGTTCCAACTTAAACAACATTATGAAAGGAGAAGTGATACAAAATTCAATACAACGTAGTTTTAAGTAGGAAGAGGCGGGGTTTGTCTCATTGCAATAAAAGAGGCCATTTTTCCTATCATGGAACACTGCGGATTTCCGCGAACGTACCAAGTTACTTTTATTTAAGAACATAGCAACATTATTTTTATATCTTATGACGCAGGTCATTCTTAGTTCTAACGACAATTGTAGATTTTTTTAACTAAAAAAAAAATCAATTTACGTAATTTGTAACTGAATATGTAAATATGTATATTCTTTGAATAAAATTACGTAATGGTAAGTTTCATACTAATATGTATATAATAATAATAATTAAAATGAACGAATTTCTTTCGTTCTCTGAGATAAAAATATTTTACCCTTTGTTTCCGAAACTATTATGTGGATTATTACGAAATTGTGCAAATTAGTAAAATAATTATCGCTATAATTAATTCTGATCACAGATTATACAAATACGGCATTTTTTTTTCACTTTGACCTTTGGTTTAACGTCATTAACCGCTTTTCAATCTCAAATAGTTACCCGTGTACGATAACTTAAGAAATGAATAAATGTTACGCTTTCGTAAGATTCAACAATTTTTTTTTGGTGTCTGAGAGTTGAAATTATTGTCTTAACTTGTCGTGGCCCGCGACTTCAAAGCGTGGTATTAGAAAACATACGAACTATATGTCAAAAAGCTACGTATCCCTCGGGAACCGGACATTTCTCGGAGATGAACCTTATCCCATGTGTACTCCAGACTTTGTTTTATATCTGTGCCAAATTTCAATAAGATATGTCGAACCGTTGCAGAATGATCGAGTTAACATTATGAAACTAAATTAATGAATACCACGGGAATCGTAACTATTCCTGGGATGAAAAGTAGCCTATTTGTTCTTCCCGACTATGCTCTAAACCTGTGCCAAATTTCATGGAGATCCGTTCAGCCGTTTAGGCTACAAATGCTAACAAAACATCCATCCATCCATCTAAACTTTCGCATTTATAATATTAGTAAGATATGATATTTGATTACAGTTAACATATAAGGCAGCAGTGTTACCCGGTAATCAAAGAAACGGCGCCAAGGATTATATTTCTCAGATGAATAAATTTTCAAATCAGGTAACTAACAATTATTAAAACTCAGCTAAATTTCAATATAAAATCAAACTAAAAGCTAGAGTTGACTTATAACTCATTAATATTTTAATTAATTTAATTTTTAAATAATAATTTTCATATAAAGATCAACGCCATCTATTATTTTGTTTTAAAACTTTAGTCAACTAGGGTTGTAACATCAAATTATTTTATCGAATTTATCGTTTCAGGATGTAGATATTGTATTACTGGCTTCCGAAGTTTTGGACTCTGAAACTTACGGAAAAGTGGACTGCACTCCTGATAATTATGACGAGGTAAGTATATTACGGTGTGAATTAAAATCACTTAAAAATGTCGGTGTTAACACACGAACCAAAAATACGAAAGCAAGTGAGGTGTGCAAACGGTCGTAGTCTCTTTATTTAAAAATTGAATCGATCTTGCAATCACCAGCCAATCAAGTCCTAAGAGAAGCGTATTATTTATTTCGAAAAAGGATTTTTTTATTTATGTATGTAACGAATATTTAACAACTGTTACATCGATTTCAAAAATTATTTTACCATTAGAATACTTATTACGCGATTTTTTAATTCTTCGCTGACGATGTAGCGGGCTGAAGTTATGCTGAATGTACTTGCATTTTTACTTATAAACTTTTACTAGCGTATTAGAGTGAGTCATAAGTTTGTTTTCCTTTTTTTAGTTGATACGGGACTTTTCATTGTTAGCGAAGCGATTCAACGTGTATTTGGCCACACATTTGTACCAGAGGTTGCAATGTCATAGCAATGTTGAGGTTGTGAAGAATAATTTAGTGTTTGATAGAAATGGAGCTATTGTTGCTGTGTAAGTATCGAATTTATCTCTAGATTTTGCTATTGTTGTTCACTAGCTTTCGCCCGCGACTGCGTCCGCGTGGTATTAAAAAAAAAACAAAAGTGAGTAGTCTACATGTTCTTCCAGGCTATCCTCTACATCTATACCAAACTTCATCGAGATCCGTTTAGCCGTTTAGGCTACAAACTCTAACAAACATCCATCTAAACTTTCGCATTACGATATTAGTATGATTATATTTCTGTTAGGTTCAAATCCTAGATATGTAAAAGTTAGGTAGAGAAGTATCTGAATGATTCTGTTTTGAGATTTTCTCAGAGTTGATATTTACAATACAAAACAATATAGACAACAAACTGTTTTGTAATATCCATACATAAATTATGCGAATTTCATCCATACACCTTTGCACGTTTTTAACACAATTTTTACATACAATCATAGTCGTTTTCTTGTAATATTATTTCAGATATACGAAACCTTTAAACAACTACGCAAAATGTAATGTAACGTCTCAGACAACATTTACCACCGACTTTGGAGTCGAATTCCTTGTGTTAATGGAGGAAGATGTATTACTCCAAGATTTAAAAAACTTGAAAACACAGAATATCATTGTTACTGGAGGATCTGCGGATAATATTGTGTATATAAAAGGTATATTTGAAATATTTCTTATCTTTCCTTCTAAACTGTTAAATGTGCGTAAAATATGAAATCTGGCAAAAATTGTTTGAAAGGATGTTTATTATCTTTTTCACTAGATGGCATTGTTATTAATTTTACAAAAAACTAGATGGCGCTATTCCTAAATACATTTAGCTTTTCTAACCTAAAACGATTTGTATTTAAAAACATATGTAGTGAATAATAATCTTGTTTTTTTCGCAGGGAATCAGTTGATTTCATCTTTGGCGTATATTACTGATGTAAACATAATTTCTGATGATGGTATCTACATTGGTAAAGGCGGTCTGAAGTCCAAAGGTCAAGTCTTGGAGATTAATAAGAATGGAAAAGGTAACTTTTTTTTGTCATTAATTTGTTAATATTTATTATTCTGCTATACTTTCACAATATTCTTTACCTGTTCACTAAAGTTGCAATAAAAGTCCCTTTTTAGTTCTTATACAATTACTACACTTATAAATTACTAGCTGTTACTTGCGACATCGTCCGCGTGTAATTTAAAAAGATTACCTTTCTAACGGTGAAATATTTTTTAAAATCTGCCCAGTAGTTATTGAGTAATTTCAATACATACAAAAATCCAATAAAAAACATACAGACGAATTGAATACCTCCTTCTTTTGGGAAGTCGCTTAAAAATACGAATCTTTCCGCTTTATAATATTAGTATAGACTATCTGTTCCCCTACGACTTCATCCGCTTAAAATTATGAAAGTTTCATTTTATTGTTTACATGTGTCAAATTATCAATTGCAAATGTCAAAATGACTTGACATGACAACCTTGCTTCCTTGATGTTGGCAGCAACATATGGTCTCTTTCCCATATTAAGGTTTTTATCCAAAATATTTACCCCCTATGTTTAATGGCGTAAAATATATAGCCTAAAGCGTGACGTAAGTGTAAGGCTTTTTATTAAAAAAAGAACTATTCAAATATATTCTGTAATTGCTGACATCTTAGGCAACAAAGAAGTGTGTGTTTACGCTTTATTATAATAGTACAGATAACTGTTGGTTAATGGTACAAATTATTACTTAACTATTTAATTTCCAGATAAACATAATACGTTACATTTCAATCCAATCAACATACGTGATCTTCCTCTGGAGGATACAAACCAGTACATCATCAGGCCGCTGGACGTGGCGGCCAGTCTGCCAGGGTATGAGGAGACTGTCTGCGATGGAAACTTCTGTTGTCAGTTCTACGTCAAAACTAGGAGTCTTGGTAAGTCTTCTATTATATATTTTTAGATTGTATGTTTCTTGTTCCTTCGTTCTTGTAAATACCTAACTTGAATAAAAATAAAATGCCGACGGATTAAATCTGTTATATAAATGTACTCAAAAACATCAAAAAACAGATTTAAAAAAGAGAATCACTATTTTTTGACTATGTAATATATCCTATGACACTCTGGACAAAAAGACGGATCGAATGACACCTCAATTGTCAAAATATGTTCATTAGTTTATGATGTAGGACGACACGAATTTACATACATAAAAACCAACTAACATACGCTTGAAAATACAACCTAATTAAAAAAATATTATAAATGCGAAAGTTTAGATGGATAGATGTTTGTTAGAGTTAGAGCCTAAAATGCTGAACGGCTCTTTATAAAAATCATATATGTAGGTGACAGTCTTTAAGAATACATAGGCTATTCGTTTTTGTCCTTTTTTTTTAATTTCACGTGGACAGATTCGCGGGAGAGAGCTAGTATTTGAAAGTTTATTGTTTGGTATCAGGTACAAAGTCCGCGGAGGCTCACTACGGCCTGTCTGTGTATTCTGGCGTTAGGAGAATGGGTGTCCATTACTTGGGTGTGGATTCTTGCAAGCTGGTTGTTTGCGCAGCTCTGTACAAACGAACCTGTGTCCTCGGGTATGTATATTTTGGTGCTCTAATAGTATTTTTTAACAATTGCTGTAAATTTCGATATTTTTTTCCCTTCTACCATATACAGGTGACTGGATATAAAAGAAAGCAGTCGGTATTTGTTAAGATTATATAATAAAATTAGGTATTTCACATTTTTTTTTAAATTACTCAGCTTTAAATATCAAATATCTCATTTTCTAGTATTGTTGCAGTCACCTTGTATAAATTTGTAATTAATGTATTTATTTCAGTAACTGTTGACGATAGAAATCGCTATAAACATCGGTTAAACAAATATGAAAAACATTTTAAAGTAGTTAACCTAAATTATTATTTCAAATTAGCCATAACCGGTGTTTATTCTAATTTTTTTTTCAGACTGGAAAGTAATATGAATGTTACATTCGAAAAGATATCGATAAAAGGTAACTTCACGGCACATCACTCGTCGCAGCTCCCCGTCATCTTGACAACACAGACGTCAGTGTCATCTGACAGCTTCGCTTTCGTCAAGAAATTGACGAAACATGTTGAAGTGTCAGCTGAGTTGTCAAATGTTAAAAATATATTGAAATTTGGTATTTTAAATCGTGATTTTACAAGAGATTATAATGATAATTTTAATACTAATAATACAGCTAAATCGTACGATGAAAATGGTTTTTACGAGTACATATTAAATGAAGATGTATTTGAATTTTTTGATTATTTATGGATAAAGGTTAGGGTCTTAATTTTAATTGTGTCTATTTATATCTTAGAGATGATGTAAGGATTACCAATCGGGTTTAAAAATATTAGCAACGTATAACCATTAGAGGAAATATACCACTATCTTTCTTTTTTGCAACTGGAGTGAAAGAGAAAAACTTCGAGTGGTTAATAGGGCTGGTACCTTATGGATTGAAAAGTTTTGGTTGTTATTTTGATAATTGGCAGCCCTAATTAGGTATATAAGAAAGAACTAAAATATTGCTATTATATGGTATTGTACATTTTTATAATTTAAAATCTGTGTTCTTCAATTTTATTGATATTTGTAATGTAAAAGTAACATTTAAAACTTAATTTAAATTTTGTAGTCCAATAACATAAAGATGTTAAGAACCTTGAATAAATTTTCTTTACAAATGTTATTAAAACATGGTGAATTCACTAAAATTATTTATAAATAATTATGAGTAAGTATTGAGTTAAGTTTCTATAATTTAAAGCTATGAAAACATTGTAAATTTTTGAAATTAACGAATACAATTTAACGGTACACAAGTCTTTACAAACAATACAATAAAATGGCTTAAAACGAAATTAAAATTGTTACAATAAAAACTTTCCACCATTTTGTATTTTTTAAATATAACTGGCAGCATTTGTTTGTCAGCAAAACTATTGAAGGTTATGAAATGTATTTATGAATTTTAATGGTTGATTTTTCTGAGAAATGGAACGTTAATATTTTTATTTTTATTCTACAATAATGTTACGGGTAAAGGTGACCTAGTGATAGATTCTTTATATTTGTAATCTTAAAATCTTTGGATATTTCAAATAATTGGAACATTATTTTACATGTAGTTTGCTGCGTTTAAAGTATGTTTTATTTCAAAGATTGTAAAATGGCAACATTACTGAATCACGACTGATTACTGTGATATTAGTGTTATATGGCTATAAATACATTTCAATAATGAAAAAAATGTTGTTTTATTTTTAAATTACGATTAAAAAACACTTGCAAAGGGTTCCTTCTAAAGTTACGTGAAAATTGTAGTATAATAAAAATGCATGTCTTTTCTTTTATATTTGTAACTAACTGTTGCTCGCGATTCGTCCCCATGAAATTAAAAAATATAGCCTATGTTACTCAGTAATAATGTAGCCTTTTAATGGTGAAAGAAATTTTGAAATCGGCCCAATAGTTTTTGAGTTATTTTTATACATACAAAAATGCAAATATTTCCTCTTCATAACAGTATAGATTAATAAATATATCTTATCTTGTTTTTATAATAAATTAATTAACGTCTAATTTGTTAGGGGTATTAAAAAAAATAAAAACAAAAGAATTTCATACCACGTTTATTTTTAATATATCTACATTTGCGTTTAGAAACAGTATTATTTTAACCGTGTCGATTGCTTCTTCTAATCATATTGAGTTCTTGAATATGATCAGCATTATCGTCAGCCAGAGTTTTTTCTATCCAGTCCATAAAATATTCCACCTAAAATACAATTTTACTATTATAATAAAACCTAAACACACTTCTTTGTTGCCTAAGATGTCAGCAATTACAGCATATTTTTGAATAATTCTTTTTATAATAAAAAGCCCTACACTTACGTCACGCTTTAGGCTATATATTTTTACGCCAAACTCAATATTTTGGATAAAAAACATAATGTGGGAAAGAGACCATAAGTTGCAGCCAACATTAAGGAAGCAAGGTTGCCATAGTTTTTCATCGTCTTGTCATTTTGACATTTGCAATTGATAATTTGACACATGTAAACAATAAAATAAAACTTTCATAATTTTATGCGAATGACCTTGCACGGGAACAGCTAGTTTTACTAATATTATAAATGGAATATTTTCGATTGATACATGATACGCGTTTGTTGGAGTTTGGAGCCTAAACTGAATGGATCTCGAGGAAATTTGAAATAGATGTAGAACACATTGGTTACTTGCTTTTGTTTTTTATTTCCACGAGGACGGACTTGCGGGAGAAAACTAGTAAATTAAAAAAAAAACTTAATATTGGCCAGTATTGTTGTACTGAATATAGCCAACTGGTACCAGTAAGTATTTACTTTATACCAGTTGTGATAATTTATACGTTTACTTTACTGGCATATTATAAACCAGACATAAGAATTGTGGCCAGTACGAATATAAAACCTCTTTGGTTGAAATTACCTTAGTATAGACGTCAGGTTTTCCTTTCGCACACGGTATGCCCCAAGACACCACACCAACTTGTCTTCCTTCCCTCACTAAGGGTCCGCCTGAGTCACCCTGAAGTACAATTTATAAATGCAATCTATCTTCGTCTTTTATCTGTCTTACTGCGGGCGCACACCGTTGACTAAACTATCACACCACTGTTGTGCGATTGTCGTTTGTTTTGCAGCCTTCAACATCAAGTAGTGTGCGCACCTCCATGTAAGCTAATAGTAATCAAAGCTCGTTTAATCAGTTGTGCGATAGTTTGGTCTCCTTAAAATATGTTGCCTGTTAATAAATTACTTTTAAATTTTCTTACATGACAAGCACCCTCGCCTTCCTTAGTGAGCGCACAGATCTGTGATTCAAACACTGGGTTTATATTTTTGTGTGCTTCTTGACAGTCTTCTAATGAGATAGCATTCAGTTCTAACATCATCAGATCGTTTGGCGCCTTACCTGGGTACTGTAGAAGTAAATATGTTTAGGTAAACTTAAAGGGTATGTTTAAATATTGAACAAGCTCAAACTTAGTCATAATCGACAAGCGCCTTGTAAAATATGTCAGATATGAGTAACTAAGAAATTGCTATTCAAAAATAAAAGGTGTTGTGAAACTAGTCGCTATAATTACTCAAACAAACCGAAATATTTCCGTTATACTAATTTTACTAAATCGAAGTAAATTGACAACTTACAGAAGTGGTACCCCATCCAGTTAGTAACAACTTTTCTCCTGTCATGACAGGTTCGTGGTTGAGTTCCACTGTGTCGACGTCACCGCCTAGTCTCATCTCTGTGAGTGTGAAGAGTACAGCAATATCGTTCTTTATCACTTCATCATCATAGTCCTCGTGACGTACAAACTTGCGGATAGGGTACGGAGTACCGCCAGATCTTAGCTGGTTTGTACCCACTATCGCCATGAAGTAATGCGGCTTCATTCTACAATTAAAATAAAATTTAATGTGAAATATAAGAGACTTTTATCTACGCACTAGCTGTTGCTCGCGACTTCGTTCACGTGAAATTTAAAAATATAGCCTATGTTATTTAGCGATAGCGTAGCTTTTTAATGTTGAAAAAAAGTTTGAAATCGGCTTTGTAGTTTTTGAGTTTTACAATCCATACAAAATACAAATATTTTCTCTTTATAACATTAGTATTTAGTGTAGGTTTAATTAAGCTTATAATTAGTAGAAAACCGTTTGTTAAATAATCTTCTACGAGTACTGCCTAACCTGAAATACATTTTTAAGGTTATCTTTTTATAAATAATAAAATCTTTGAAACTAAACACAAATAAATTTGCTCTAAAGTCGTAATGTAACATTTTGAAGTAGCAAAGGATAAATGCATGGAGTTTGTAGCCTAAACTGCTAAACGGGTTTCGATGTTATTTGCCATAGATGTAGAGGATAGTCTGGAATAACACAAAGGCCACTTATTTTTGTTTTTTTTTTTTAACTCCGTGCGGACAGAGTCGCGGGCAAAAACTAGTTGAACATATTTTTCTGTATATAACTAACCTGTCCACACAATGAGCAGCTGTTAATATTACTCTAGTAGTTATAATTGAGGCCCCGCAAAAATGTCTGACCCCAAACCATCGTAGCGACACTTGGTATGGGGCGGAACCATTAGGGGCTTTAGTGCCCCCAACAATACGATCCAATTCGTCTCTGCTATCTTCCGAGCCGAATAACCCAGCTGATACTAGAAATTACCAAACTGATTAAAACAAAATTAGCAAAACAAGAAAGCATTTTAAAATCTTCTCGTCTTTTATGTTTTTTTTTAATTGTACCAAAATGTAATATAAGATTATCAATTTCAAGGATAGCTTTCAAGTCAGGATGGCCGAGCGGTCTAAGGCGCTGCGTTCAGGTCGCAGTCCACTTCTGTGGGCGTGGGTTCGAATCCCACTTCTGACAAACTTTTTGTTTGTCGTTTTTCGTCCGAACTTTCAGATAAAATATTACTTTTTATTTCAAAGGAGGCAAAAAGTGTGATTTATATTTTGTTAATATTAAATAAAAAAAATATTAAATACCTTACCAAAAGTAGTTCCTAATACAGCTACCAACACAATAAAAAATATTCCAAACATTTTAATAGAAGATCGACACAACACTGATCTGTTTCTAAAAAAACTACAATAAATAGTTTAACTAAAATACGTAACAGTTATGTTTAAATGCATACTAATGTTTTAAAATTGCATCCATTTACATTGAACTAAATATTTGTTGATACGAGCCCCTATAGCCTATAAAACATTTATAAAAAAAAAACTATTTGTCTGTTAAAATGTATCAAATTTTGTTACACAATTATTTTGTATAGATGGCGCTGAAAACAAATTACTAAGAATTTTACGTTCTTAATTATTTATTACTCAATAAATCCCAGATTTTGTAGTTTTCTTGAGAAATAGTTTTGGTTATTTAATTTGACATCTGCATACATTTCAGCCGTTAAATGAACACGTGAAACCGAGTGAAAATCATTGTTTCAAAGGTTCAATAATAAATCTAAAGATTATTCTAGCCTATTCTTAAATATGTATGTGGAGGGTTACCCGAGTATTGGAAGGCCTACGAAAAAAGTAATTCCATTTTAAGTTACATGATCAAGAATGGTATAAAATTAGTGGAAAATACAGTTGTTTTATGAAATAATCTATAGTAATATAATAAAGCGTAAACACACACTACTTCGTGGCGTAAGATGTCAGCAATCAAAGCATATTATTGAATAATTCTTTCTTTAATAAAAAGCCCTACTTACAACACGCTTTAGGCTTTATTTTCACGCTATTAAACTTAGGGGTAAATAAATTGGAAAAAATGTGGGAAAGGGATTATAAACTACAAGCTACCAACATTAAGGAAGCAAGGTTATTATGGTAATGGTATTTTGACATTTGCAATTGAGAATTTGACAAACGTAAACAATAAAATAAAGTTTTTATAATTGCATGCGGATGAAGCCGCATGCGAACAGCTAGTTGAAGTATAAATTACTTGAGTTACTGATAAGATTATAATAAATGACTTTGGTTGCCGAGACAATGACAACTCTCACAGGAAATGAATAAACCTCGCTCCCGACCTCACTGGAGCGATACGTAATTTTATTACGTCTGCTGACCCAGTTTTGGAGTTGTGTAAACGAAAATATTTCATATAAATCATGATAAGTTATTTATAAATTATTAGCGTTCGCCCGCGATTCCGTCCGTGGAACTACAAGAAAACAAGAGTAAGCAGGCAGTGTGTTCCAGACTATACTCTACATCTATGCCAAATTTTATCGAGTTCTTAGCAGCTTAGGCTACAGCTTAGTAAAACACGGCTGATTTCCTCCACTGTACACTCACATTATTATATTCGTGTACTCTATTTTCTAACTTTCATTACTTAGTATGCGGTCAATTTACTAACCAGTAAAACCTTGCAGATTAGAGATCGTTTTGTAGCGGTTTTTATTGTGGTTATGTGATAGATCAAACGGTTTTATTAAATTACTGGAATTGAATAGCTTTATTATCATCATCACCACCAGCTCATTATACGTTCTCACCGAGGGGCTCGAAGGCTACCCTAAGTTAGAGTGACTAGGCCATAGTCAACCACGCTGCACTGCGGGTTGGTTGACTTCACACATATGTTTGAATTTCTTCGCCGACATGTGCAGGCATCACGATGTTTTCCTTCACCGTAGGAACGTCGGGTAAATTATGTACATATGAAAATTCGAAAAATCGAAAATCACATTGGTACAGCGGGATTCGAACCCAAGACCTATGGATTACAAGTCAAGTGCCTTAACCACTGAGCCACCGACGCTTTGTTGCGCGATTGTCGATTGTTTCACAGCCAATTCAACTGGTTAGCTGCAACTAAAAATCGAGTAGTGTGCGCACCTCCTTATAAGGTCATCATCATCCACTTGCCCTTATCCCTTACGGAGGGTCGGCACAGTATGTGCTGCTCTTCCATACATCTCTATCAGCTGTCATATCTAAATCCAATCCTTTCTTAAGTATATCCTCTTTCACACAATCCATCCATACTTTCTTCGGTCTTCCTCTTCCTTTGTAGCCATCCACATTCTTAACACTTTCACCTCCTTATAAGGTCATAGGAATCTAAGCGTGACTAAACAGTTGTGCGATGCTTTAGTCAGAGGTGTGCGCCCGCTCTAAGTCTCGAATGCAAACAAAAGCCTACTTTCCAATGCAGGCTGTGTTGCAGGAAGGATGCGGACAATTTGCCAGCGATTACGTCGCCAACTTCGAGCGTGCGATCAACATTTACATGTATGATTTGAACAGAGATTCACGAATTAAATACTAGACATTTTGATGAGTTTTTTTTTAATTTCTTTAATAATAAATCATACAAATATAAATGCAAAAAATTTGTCGGAGTTTATAGCCTAACGGCTTAACGGATTTCGATGAAATTTGGTATAGATATGGAGGATAGTCTGGAAGAGCACATAGGCTACTCGCTTTTGTTTTTTTAATTAGACGCGGACGGAGTCGCCGGCGAAAGATAGTTAATAATAAATAAATATCGTTCAAGAGTTTTGTTTCTTGTTTAACAGGCAACGATTTTTAAATACTACATTCTTAATAATAATCACCTGAGAATTGCATGAACATGGCAAGCTTTTCAGCAAGACATTAATAATTAACAAACGAGAATTAATTACTCTACATTAAATGCCTTCTCCAAATTATTATTCCTTCGCGTTTATAAGTCTACATTGAAATACGATGTAATTTTCTGGCGCCAACAATAACAATTCGATAGCATATAGAATACGTTTTATTATCTATATCCATGCTAAATTTATTTTATCTGTTACGAGCATAACAGTTCATTCGCTATTACAGTTATTGGCGGGAAAAGTGACAGGTCGCGTGTCCGCTCTGACATTGTCTGTTCGTTGTTTGAATTTAAATTAACATGCGTTTTGTTTTTAATATTTAAATATTAATCTTACGGTGATATTATAATTATAACATCCGGGAAAGAATACGAAACAATTTAATATTTACAAAATCGTTTAAGCTATTACAGTCATAATATAAAATTATCACTTGCTCTATTATTAGTTTATAGTAAAAATGTCAAACCAAAGATCACAATAAATGGATAGGTCATTGCTATTATATACGATTTTGTTTCTTTTGGACATGAACGTGACCGTTGAAGTCTCTGGCAGTGTTTTTATATCTGTAGTCCGAATCCTGACCGCTACCAACCTTAGCGCCAAAATGGCGGAAACCAGCCACAAAATACCACGGTTTATATCCTATTTTTACAGGTTAGTGTTTGTTGACAACTTTCTTTTGTTATCAGAATTAAGCCATGTTATTTTGATAATACATTTTACATTGTTGACAAATTTATTCGTGTCTACTGAAATTGATTGAAGTAGATATTGAACGTAAGTTATTTATCAAGAAACATTATAATAATGAATAATGCATAGCTTACAATGTTTGTAGAATATATTAATAATAAATGTAAGCTTATTTCGTATCTATGCGTCTTTGACGATTAATTTTTTTATTGTTTTTTTAAACGAAATTTAGCTTTGCGGACAAAAATTATTACATAAAACCTATTTGTTGTTTACTTTTGATTAAAATAAGTGTAAACACACACTTCTTTGTTGCCTAAGATGTCAAAAATTACAGCATATTTTTGAATAATTCCTTTTTTAATAAAAAGCCACGCTTTAGGCTATATATTTTCACGCCATTAAACTCTAGAGTAAATATTTTGGATAAAAACCCTAATGTGGGAAAGAGACCATAAGTTGCTATCAACATCAAGGAAGCAAGATTGCAATAGTTTGTCATCATGTCATGTCATTTTGACATTTGCAATTGATAATTTGACAAATGTAAACAATAAAATAAAATTTTCATAATTTCATGCGGATGAAGTCGCACGGGAACGGCTAGTGTTACATAAAACCTATTTGTTGTTTACTTTTTTTTAATGGAGTAAATTCGATTTTTAAAAGCGTTTGAATTGTAGTTTATCAATGAAAAACTGTTTACGTCCGCGTCGGGAAATGCACGATTAGTAAATATTTACGGTAAACAATTCTAGCGGACAAACAATTCTTTCTTTTTTTAAAAAGACATAATTTGGCACAGTTTGGTCTGATTAGCCGCGTCGTGTGGTCTTCATACTTAGTGATCAAATGTTCAAGATATATTTCTTTTGTTTTGGAACTTTTTATGGCAAGTATTTTTTTAAATTGCTATCTTATAGACAACGATGGGGATGGAAGTTAGTTGTAACCATAAGCACTTGTTCGTACGGGCGGTTTTTTAACGCTCATACAGACGCTTCGAAACCACTCTTGTCTCATTCGCTCAATGCTAAATATTCATTTGTTCTGTTTCAAAGCTTTTTTAACGCGCATTGCAAACAACTGGAATACTGTCACAGCAATAATCGTTTTACCGTCGCTAGGCATTAGTGGAAAGAGAGTTTTAGTGTAAATAAGTTGTTATAAAAATTTTATTATATTATAGTAACGTTGTAATTTACCCGACGTTCTTACGGTGAAGGAAAACATCGTAATGCCTGCACATATCTGCGAAGTAAGTAATTAAAAATATGTGTCAACGCGCATTGCAGCGTGGTTGACTAAGGCCTAGTCACTAACTTAGGGTAGGCTCTGAGTCCCTCCGTGGGGGGACGTATAGTGAGCTAGTGATAGTAACGTTATAAGTATTGTTCTTTTTTTCAGGTATATCTTACGTTAAATGTGGAAGTTTCGAATGTCATGATGATTCTGCTTACGAACCTAACGAAGGGCCGATATCTGAGTTGCAGTTTACTTGGCTGGGAGCACTACAGTATATACATAGTGAGTTTTAACAAACTAGCTGTTGCTTGCAACTTCGTTCACGTGAAATTAAAAAAATATAGCGTTTGTTACTCACTGATAACTCAGCTTTTTAATGGTGAAAGAATTTTAGAAATCTGTCCAATAGACCAGTAGTTTTTTCTTTATTTAAAAAAAAAAACATACAGACAAATTGAGTACCTCCTTCTTTTGAGAAGTCGGTCAAAACTATCGGCATCTGCTTGCTTCTTTGTCACCTTACCGTAATAAAAAACTTTAATTATCTTACTAAGTGGCTTTATTACCATTGGCATAGGTTATTTTGACGATAATATAATTGTTACATTTTCAGTGAAGAATGGCAACCCTCATTACTTCAGAGTGCCGCGTGTTAGTTTGATCACTCGCCAGTTCGTGCTGTCAACAGCTAAGGATGCTGCAGAAGTACCTAGCGGTTATGCTCTGTAAGCTACTGCTTTAGTAAAGATTTTTAAATTAATACAGAAAACGACACACATGCGTCAACTCGGAAACATTTTCCCGCTTTCTTGTTAGCAGCAATTCTGATATGACAGGATCAAACAGTTAAGAAGAAAATCAGTACTGCGTTGGAGGATTTGCGCAACACTAGCATAGCTTATATACGTCCGTCCCTATGACAGCTGTCAATGTCATTCAGACGTATGGGAATAACGCGCCACTTTGGCGGGATCTGAGTGTTTGAGTGTTTTACAGTAGTAGTGCCTGCTTTAACATGTTAGCACTGCAGGGCCGGCACACCCGGTGTAATACCACGACCACACAGAAAAGTGCCGTGAAATGGAAGCAATTCCGTGTTTCGTCTGATGAGTGTAGTGCCGGCGGCCTAATTTAAGTCCTTCTCTTTTTACCACCCTTTTCTTATAAGGAGAGGATGGGAAGAGGAAGTGGATTTGACGGTGGAGGCGATGCATAGGAAGGGGAAATATCCTCTTTATGTGCCTCTCCTCCTCTGTCGGATAAGGGGAGGCAACGCCTTTACAATTGCGGATGTCCATGGACAGCGGTCGCTTCGCCATTTTGGCGGACTCAGGTGGCCGTTTGTTCGTTTGCCACCTTATGCTATAAAAAAAATTATGATGCTCACACAACCTGGACCAGACAATATCATATACGTGTCTGCTATGCTATACACCTTTAGTTTTAACCAAAGAGATTAAAGAAATAAATAGAGGAGGCATAGTTGGCACTTCACTTGTTTTTTTTCACATTGGATAACTCTATCTATTAATAGGTCTACGAAACCAAGTTAATTGCCCAGTAAATCATATTTAAATGTTTATATTTTATTTCGTAACACTGTTTACTTTTTGTAACAAAACATGGAGCTTATAATTTGTAAAATGTTTTATAACATTTTAATACTATGAGGTGGCACTAAACTTAACCTAAACTTGGTACCTTTGAAAGAAGTTACCGGTAAAATTTTTGTTTAGTATGCCTAGTCTATATGAAATATAGTCTATTTCTTAAATGTCCTACGTAAACTCGTGTTTTATTAAAATTTAAGGCGTTGTTAAAGATTGGAGGCGGGGTATATATATATATATATATATGGGAATACATATTTATAAATTGTCATATATCAAAAAAAGAACAAGTCAAAATTAAAATATATAAAAAGCGTTCGATATCTTAAAAGTTGCAAACGAGGTTGTAAGTTATAACCTCATTTCTTAACGGGTGTAGTTTTAGTGCGTTTGTTGCAAAATTGAATTGTTCCACAGAGGTAATGTAGTCTTCCCTGAATATGAGAGGGATGAGAAAGAGTGTGGGTTAACTATCAAGCAGTTAGCGGCTGGCGGGAGCTGTGACCCCGCCGTGCTTCTGATGCCGATAGCTGACGTCCTCCTGCATCCGGAGTACAAGCACTTCGGTGTTAAAAGCAGTGTCGCTTTACTAAAGCTGTTAACACCGCTGGGATCTAGTAAGTCATGTCAACCTTTATTCTATCTTCTTATTAAGGTTTTTACCTTTATCAAGCTTTCGCCCGTGACTCCGTCCGTGCGGGATTAAAAAGAACAGAACTAAGGAGTCCATGTGGTCTCCACCAGCGCTTGACCACGACTCCACCTAAGCTAAGTGAAGACGTGGCCGAAGGATAGATCGCGCTAGCTCAATAAGTGTCGATTCACCCTAATATATCTATGCCAAATTTCATCGATATCCATTCAGTAATTGAAGTAAAAACTCTAGCAAACATCCATCTATCCATCCATCTATCCATCCATCCATCCATCCATCCATCCATCCATCCATCCATCCATCCATCCATACATCTAAACTTTCGCATTTATAATATTAGTAAGAAGTAATTAGTTACACTCTTTTCTATGCTAAGAATAGCAATATATCTTACTAATATTATAAATGTGAAAGTTTAGATGTATGGATGGATGGATGGATGGATGGATGGATGGATGGATGGATAGATGGATGTCTGTTAGCGTTTGTAGCCTAAACGGCTGAACGGATCTCCATAAAATTTGGCAAAGGTTTAGAGCATAGTCTGGAAGAACACATAGGCTTCTTTTTATCCCGGGAATAGTTACGGTTCCCGTGGGATTCATTAATTTAGTTTTTTAATGTTTACTCGATCATTCTGCCACGGTTCAACATATCTTATTGAAATTTGGCACAGATATAAAACAAAGTCTGGAGTACACATGGGATAAGCTTCATCCCCGAGAAATGTCCAGTTCCCGAGGGATACGTAGCTTTTTGTAATTTATATAGTTCGTATGTTTTCTAATACCACGCGGACGAAGTCGCGGGCAAAATAAATGTCAAAATTCATACAAAAATGACAATAATGGACTTTGCAATGCTAATAATTACCATAATGGCAATCTTGTTTCTTTACTGCTATTGGCGTGTAGTTTTTGTTACATTACCGTCTGCCTTTTTTTAGAATTAACTCATCCAATAAATTAAATAGCGTGAAAGTATATAGCCTACAGCATATACTAAATATAGGGCTTTTTATTAAAAACAGAATTATTGAAAAATATGATGTGATTGCTGACATTGTACGCCACGAAGTATTGTTTACGCTTTATTATATTAGTACTAGCTGTTCCCATGCGACTTCATCCGCATAAAATTATATAAATTTAATTCTATTGTCCACATTTGTCAAATTATCAATTTCAAATGTCAAAATGACATGACATGGTGACAACCTTGCTTCCTTGACGTTGGCAGCAACTTGTAGTCTCTTTTCCACATTAGGGTTTTTTATCCAAAATGTTTACCCCTAAATTTAACGGCGTGAAAATATATAGCCTAAAGCGTGACGTGAGTGTAGAGCTTTTTATTAAAAAAAGAGTTATTCGAAAATATGCTGTGATTGCTGAGATCTTAGGCAACAAAGAAGTGTGTGTTTACGCTGTATTATAATAGTATAGATAGATATAGATTTATGATTTGTAAATTTTTTTCAGACTATATGGTGCCAGTTTGTCTGCCGTTCAGAAACTTTTTGCTGAGACCTTTCAAAGAATATGTGGAAAAACTGATTTATGTCGATTTTATTAGTGGTAAGTTAGTAATAATATTCTATCTTCTATCTCTATACATATAATAAAATTGGAGTGTCTGTAATATCAAAAGAAAAATTCCAGATTTCTGGAACGTATTTGCGTTGCTGATAACTAAAATTATTTATGTTTTGTCTGTCTGTCCGCATGCCGCGTTTGTTCCGGGTAATAGCCGAAACGGCTGAAACGATTTGGACAGGACTTTCACTGAAGGGTAGCTGACATAGACGGGCATGTTATAGGCTACTTTTTTTTAAATGGGGTAACGTGTGGTCCAAATTTGCGCTAACGAAGTTTGCGGGCGATAGCTCGTTAGTTCTAAAGTTAACATGACGCGGTTTCTGGCTTAATTGAAAATGCTACTTTACAGAGGTTCCTCGAGATTTTTTGGAAGAAGAGAAGGAATTGGTTTTTCTAAGACTGGTGCCCAGAGAACGTTGTGTGAAGCACGAATATTTCGTAAGTTTCACCCCTTTGACTAAACTATCGCACAACTGTTTAGTCGCGCTTTGATACCTATGAGTTCATATGGAGCTAGCTGTTCCCGTGCGGCTTCATCCGCATGAAAATATGAAAATTTTGTTGTTTACATCTGTCAAATTATCAATAGCAAATGTCAAAATGACATGACATGACAAACCTTGGCAATCTTTCTTTCTTGATGTTGGCAGCAACTTATGGTCTCTTTCCCACATTAGGGTTTTTATACGAAATATTCGAACGAAACAATCGACAGTCGTTGTGTCAATGTTTGAAATATGATACATAGAGTAGGTTCATTTGAACAATAACTGTTGTTCTACTGGTTGTAATACTAAACATACTGGTTGTTCTCTTATAGAACGAAAGTAGTCTGTTACCCGACCGGCATGTGTGCACGACCGGCTGCGACCTGCAGTCGGGCGCGCCCACACTGGTACACGAGCACACCGGACACTGGAACTTGTTCGCTTTGGCTGAAGGTATAGTCGAGGAATTTTATTTCATACCCATATAAGATTATTTGTACTCCCACTTATTTCTATATTTTGATAAGGAAACGACATTAAATCTTTCTACCAAAGATTCCACAGATTAAAAATCAAAGATAAATATATTTTTATTACACCAGAGTGTAGGCCCAATAGTAGAGAAGGTAAGGAGTAAAAGGTTAGCATGGTATGGGCATGTTATGAGGAGGGATGAATCGCATGTTACAAGAAGGATGTTAGTTATGAATGTGGAGGTACATCGGTAGAGGTAGACATAGAAAGAGATGGATGGATTGCGTGAAAGGTGACATGAT